AAACGATTAGGAGAAGAAGTGAATATTTTTCGATACGAAAGTTCGCATTTAAAAATTATCGATTGCGATTGAATACAAGGCATATTTGAAACGAATTGAATCCTTGTTAATGCGAAGCATTCACTACTGCCATCTCGCATTTAGCGCGATGAAATTTAATGGGAACTAATACTTTTTATTTTCCCTTTCTTCGGATCAGAAAGCAGAATTCAGACGTATTCAAAATGTCAATACTTTTTAATATGTTTCAGTTCGACATTTTATACAGGGAGATTATCCGCTGCGGACAATAACTCTTCTACTTTTCATTTAATATTCAATGATGATAAATAACATTTAATTGCATTCGTTTGGCTGTTTTTATTTCGAAAATAAGAAAATATATACCGGGGTGAGATTTTACCCATGACAACATTAACGTGATTTTCTTTGATGCTGTTTTTAAAAGTTCAAATATTTCGTCTACTCGCGGGATATTTATAATCGGAGTCTCGTCACGTTAATTACGTGAATAACACGTGCTCCTCCGAGCGGATCGAATGCTCACCGACGGCCACTGTCAGTGCCACGAGCGAATATCCGGAGCGGACGGGATGCTGAATTAAAAAACAAGACGAAGTGAACGGGACGCGGACAACGATACATCATGCGTCTCCATACATGTTAAATTGTTTATTATAGAAGAGACTTTGATACGGCAATATATATTCGAAGATTTAACATTTAATACGTACTTTTATTTTTTCTGCTCCTCCCCCCTCTCCCCCGCTCTTTTTAGACCACCGGGCATAGTCTGGCATAGAGATGGCAACTGTCATTGCAGCACGGACATAAACCGCCTGAAAGTGGATGTAGCATGGACTTCCACCATATGCAGATTTTACCACCGAGACTTAAAAGTGGATGTACTATCGTAGTTCCCCTCTCAAAATGGATGCAGATGGCGTCCTTTCTCAGTGCGGAAAGTCGGTGTCGCAGAAAATGTCGTAGTGGCCGCTCTCAGGTTACTCTCTGCTCCCTGCATTTTACTGGTGACAGAAGTGACTTTAGTTCGTCTCGGATTGGGTACAAAGGCAGGTGGTAGTGCAGTCGACTCGGCATCATCATCTGTTAGTCGTCATATTGAACAGTTTCTGTTTATCAGTGACTTGAAAAGGTGTTTTGCAGTGTTTTGTATATTTAAGTGCCCAAAAAAGAGTATTTCAGTGTTATATAGGAAGAAAGAAGGACCAACGAAGGACAAAGAGCGTGTGGCATATATTCATAATCATAATATTGACATTTACTTAAGTATTTATGTATATATATGTGTCATTGTGTCTGTGCATGTATAAGCTGTATGTGTATGATATATGGTAGTTTTATGCATCAAATTTTTTTAACCACACCAGATACATAGCAAAAATGTATTTGACAGTCCGCAGTCTGCAAGTGGGACGGGAAAAATATGATGCATTAAACTTTCTTGTAATTAATTTTACTTTTATTGTAAAAAATATATTGGGTGAGTACAAAAGTTCGTGCGGAGTTTGTGAGTAAAAGTCACACAGTGATTAGGCAAACAAAAATCTTTATTCAATCAATGATATATTCTTCATCATTTTCTATAATCTTTTCCCAACGTTCTGGCAGCATACGGATGCCTCGATCATAAAAACTGCGCGGTTTAGATTCGAAGAACGAAGAGACGCCATTTTTTAAGGCCTCCAAAGAGTCAAAGTTTTTTCCATTTAAATAATTTTGCAATGACCGGAACAAGTGATAGTCAGATGGTGCGATATCAGGAGAATACGGTGGATGCGTTAAGACATCCCATTTCAGGCTCTTCAGTTTGCGCAGCGTCTTTTTCGAAACGTGTGGTCTGGCGTTGTCGTGATGAAAGACGACTCCCTTGCGATTTGACAAAATCGGACGTTTCTCTTTTATTTCTCGATTCAGATTGGTTAATTGGCGACAGTACTTGTCCGAATCAATCGTTTCGCCAGCGGGGAGAAGCTCGAAATAGATTATGCCCTTGTAATCCCACCAAACAGAGAGCATCACCTTCATCGGGTGCAAACTGGCCTTTGGCATTGCGTCACCATGCTCACCTGATTGTTTCCATGTCCGTTTGCGCTGAACATTGTTGTAGAGGACCCATTTCTCATCGCCCGTCACTAGTCGATCCAAAAACGACTCGTTATTGAGCCGCCCGAGTAAAGAAACGGCTGCAGAAATTTGCTTGATTTTGTTCTTCTCGGTCAGCAAATGGGGCACCCATATATCGAGCTTCAAATCGAATCCCATCTTTTTTAAACGTCGAAAAGCGGTTGATCGGTCAACGTTTAGTGCTGTAGCAACTTCTTCTGTTGAAATTCGCGGATTATTGAGCACTAAAGTACGCAAAACATCGTCATCGTCATCAATGTCAGAAGGTCGACCAGAGCGTGGCTCATCTTCAAGGTTAAATTCTCCGCGCCGAAATTTAGCAAACCATTTTTCCACAGTTCGTTTAGCTGGTGCTTCATCCTGATAAACATCCTGAATGTTTTTTACGGCTGCGGCAACGTTTATTCCCTTCCGAAACTCGTAAAGCATAGCATGCCGTAAATGCACTTTATCGATACTCATTTTTAAAGTGATATTTCTCGAAGCAGTTTGTATGAAAACAAATTATTTTTTTTTTAATAACAGCTGAAGACGTCACCTTTCCAACGTTATATAATATGTAGATGGAAGTATTAATGACAACACTTTACGACGCTTATAACTCCATCTATTGAAACTCCGCACGAACTTTTGCACTCACCCAATATATTCCGGTTAATATAAGTCGTGAAACTGGACCTAAGTAAGACTTACGCTTAAGCGAATGTTCTCTTGAAACTGAAAACATTAATAATAATAATAATGATAATTATATTTCTATTTATCTTTTTTTCTATACTATCTAACTATCTATCTATCTATTTCTCTATATCTATCTATCCATCTATCTATTTATCTATCTATCCATCTATCTGTCTATCTATTTATCCATCTATATCTATCTCTATATCTATCTCTATATCTATCTATCTATCTATTTATCCATCTATCTTTTTTCTTCCTATGTATCATTGCAACCTATCCTGTTCTATCCATATTTCTTGCAGATGCAAACAATGAATATTACATTAATTTTTATATTAAAATATATTTTTTATACTATAACATGCTGAATTAATAATTAATAAAATTCAACAGGTTATACTATAAAAACAAACACTTACGTAAAAAGATTATTATATTATTAAAAAGTTTGTATTTATATTTGACGGAGATCACCATTTTCTCGCGGTTTCCGTTGAGCAACAATATGCACGTTATCTATTCGTAAAATTAAATAATAAAGTCGTAATTGAAATATGATAAAACTAATTTCTTCTTTTACTAGACTAAATTTATTTTTGCTACGAAAAGAAAAATGTAACAATGGAATATCTTTTACAAAACAAATAACATTTCATTTAATTTTTAATTTAAATTTATTAGCATAAATAAATTATTCTGTCATATACTTTAATAACAAATCATTTTTAAAAGATGTATATATTGGCTAAGAGTGGATTTCTATTAACTTTTCGTCTCTCATTATAATTCTCTCTTCTTTATTTGTGCATTAATACTAAATATTCTTTATATACATATACACTATATATGTGTCATTTATTTATATATATATATTGGCATGTAATTAATATATTTAACTAAGCCGTAAGAACACGAGAAGAGAGAAAGAGCGAGCAAGTGCGCGAGAGAGAGGAAGAACGAGCGAGAGAGAGAGAGAAAGAGCGAGGTATAGGAGTAGCGAGAAAAATCTCGCAGTCAATCTCACGCAGTCAATAAGCTAGACGAGCGGGAAAGAAACAGATAATATATCGACGCTCGTCTAGTCTCCCATGTGCTACCTCGCGTGCGTGAAAAATAATTCCTCGCTTCGCACGTTCCCTTGACACGAGACGCTACCGCGTCTTTTGATGTCTCTGGAGCGTGAAAGATGAAAGAAAAGCGGAGAGATGTTCGCTTAGCGATAAGATCGCTGCTACCTCGCCTCGTGTTTACTGCCGCGAGCCGCTCAGTAGTGAGACAAAGACGGAACAATTGTCTGTCTTTTTCTAATCTACTATCCATTGCATGGAAGTAGTACGGACACGAACCTAGGCGCATTTTACTTTTATCACCGTGAAAGTGCGCCTAGCGGACGTAGTTTAGGCGCATTTTGGTCAGATGGCGTATTTAAAATGCGCCTAGCCGTATCCCCTGAAATACGGCCGGTGGCCGCTCTCATTCTTCTCTCTGCTGGCACGTGCCGTTATATGTGTGTGTATGTGTGTGTGTGTGTGTGCGTGTGTGTGTGTGTGTGGGTGTGTGTGTGTGTGTGTGTGTATACATATTTACTTATAAATGTACGTAACTTTGTGTAGCAAGGCCAGTTCTGTTAAATATGTATATATATATATATATATATATATATGCAGTTTCGATGCAGATAAATACCTTGCTTTTTATAATTAAGCGTCTTTATGTCGAACATGTATATCTTTGATATTCGTGTGTCGCGATCCGGAGTCGTGTTGACAATCCGACAATTGTACTTAACATGTGCGTAAGATCACGTATGAGGTTAAACGTAAACAACACGCACAATGTTGAAGTGGCGAGTGAGTGAGTGAAGAGTTTTGTATCTTGTAACCGATCGTTAGAACGCACAAATGCCTAGGCACGATGCGTTCCATAGAAAAATGCCCAATTATAGAGACTGAGACGAATTCGTTCTTTTCAGGCAGCTTCTCGGTGAGGCAGAGCAAGGTGGAGTACCAGAGTGTAAAAAGTGCAACTGTGAAACAAACCGGTCTCTTGATGCTCAATGAAGAATGTCAGGTGCCCGCTAACTCCGTGAGATGTCGCTACGATAACATTTTGTAGCGCCGGTTTCGTGTCAAAAATTTTCCGGGCGTATTAACTGAGCGAACGAGCGGCATTACGTTTGGTCGATACGCGCCGTCGGCCGTCGGCGTGTAAACGCAATAAATACGGGTACGATGACGGAGAGGGTATTTGCCATGGCCACCTGAAGCAAAAAGTACTCGTGTTCTCGTGCTGATGACTAAGCGGCGTTCCTCGTCAGTGAGAGACAAGTGGATCCAAGAGTCAACTCGTCTGTTGAGTTCCACGTACCGGAGAAGAAGGAGTAGACAGAGGAAGTGGACGAAGACTAAAGCGAGTTGTGATTTCACGCTTCTCGATAGAGGCATCACGAGGGTGTCGTGCGAAAGGTCAACCCCGGCGACTTGATCGTCGCGTGTGTGTGCGTGTGTGCGTGTGATATGCCGGCGCCCCACCCCCCAGTGCACAACAGCGCTGTTCACCCTTTGAAATTAACCCTCTGCCTCTGGCCCCGTGGGTGAAGTCCAGCACGCTGCCGTTGTCATCGTCGTCGTCGCGTTGTGTCGTGTCGTCGTCGTTGTCGTCCGCTACTATGTACACGCATTGACAGCGCACCACGCCGTCAATAAGTAGTAAGGTGAGCGGATCTCTTTTTTTTTTTCGTATGCATGTGTATATATATACGAAGCAATTTATTTTCGGTGCGCGTTGCTCCAGAGATCGATCAGCGACGTGGAAGACAAACGGTCAGTTTCTCCGTCTCGAGAGAAAAAGGAGTGCGCCAAGGACGAACTCCGAGGGTGAGGCTCGCATTGAGTCGATCCCCCTAGTCTTGAGAATGAGAAGAAAGGATTTTTTTATAACGAGAAGGGATTTTTTTATAATGAGAAATACTTTTTATAATGAGAGGAAGGCATTGTTTTTTATAGCTGTGTACTGTACAAGTCGATAATAAGAAAGAATTAATGATCATTTGTCACTAAACTTTCTAATATACTGTATGCTTAATTTGCATTTCGAGAAAAAATTAGCAATTGATGATTGAAGAGTATACTACTATTCTGGTATTTATAATTGACATGTTATGTATGAATAGCATAGTGAGTTAAACAAAACTATAATGCGTATCACTTAAGTATATATCTTGAAAAAAAGAATAATGACTCTTAAGAAAGTTGGTTCTTGCAAAGTTGAAAAGTATAATAAATTTCGAAGTTTAATGGAAAATTTGAATGCGATATTTCTTAGGGATCTTTTTATTTATTTAATTCGTAGATATAAAAGAATTAAATATATGCATCTTAAATATAAATTAATTTATTTCTACAATTAAGAGTCACTTAAGCCATCTAAGTTAACTTTATTTAGTGTTGATAAAAACAATCCATAAATATGCACAAGCTTTGTACCTAAATAATTTTAATTTATATATACTGTAAATAATTACAGCTGCATATCTTATCTCACACAAAATATCTTTATCTGGATTATTTTTTCCAATTACATGCTCTTAAGCTTTCAGTCTTAAAAATGAAGCATGGAAATATATGTCCATATAAAAGAAAATGGAAAGAAAAAAGTTATTTTGGATTTTTGGATTGGATTGGATTGGATTGGAGGCAAAAGACCTAAAAATAATGGAAGATAATATTCTTTCGGTATTCATCATCAAGTATAAAAGATATGTGAAGGACTCTCGACAAATTTATTGTACCCTTGACAACATGCTGAACCGATGGTGGTACTATTTAACGTGATTTATACACATTGCAGCGTACAACGTCGGCATATGACTCGAATACGAAATTGAACCTCGCCTTTGGCATCATACAATTGAGATTACATAGCGTGTATGCGATGTATATGCATAGATATATTTTTTTACATATACATGCATATTAAACAGGACCTTTTAAGATGACTAAAAAATTTTGAGATTCACATGAATCCAGCATTTACAAGATCAAATTAAAGTTTCAATGTAGACTGAGACAATCTTAATAAAAATCACTCAGAGGCTACTCTTGTGTTTTGCTTTCAATTTTACTCGTATGATACGACAAACTTTTTTTGGTTACATCAAAATAATGGTTCTTTTGTTGATGCAAATTTTCAACTTACACACATCCACTGATTGCAGTATGTACGCGCTGCAGATGCAGACTGCCTGCCAAGGCGAAGGTACTGGTGAGCCTGATGACCCCAGCAGCCTTCATCAGGAACCAGCACGACCTGCAACACAGGACTGTAGTTCCTTTGACATCGTCAGAGCCACGCAGGTAAAATCAGTGACTGAGTTGAATATTTGAAGAAATCTCTATAATCTATCTTGGTACTTCAAGACTGAATAGAACGACGTGTTTGCAGTATGGTGCATTGGATCGAGTGACTGAATTGGTGGAAGCCGGCGCCGATGTGAACCAGCCGGATTCCGAGACTGTGACACTGTTGCACTGGGCTGCGATAAATAATCGCAAGGACATCGTTAAATATCTCATTGCGAAGGGAGCTGTTGTCGATGCGATCGGTGGCGAATTAGCTTCTACACCTTTGCATTGGGCAACAAGGTCAGTGATTTAAATAGTTATTAAATAAATATTAAACCACTGTTATTTAATAAACCTAATAATTTCATTGAAGAAAATTAAACAGAATCAATTTCTAAACTGTCTTAAATTGACATTTGAGTTTCTCTCAGATATAGATTTAAGATGACTCGAAGATTTAACTCTTCAGTGATGTTTGTAGGCAGGGTCATCTTTCCACGGTTGTGATATTGATGAGAGCCGGTGCTGATCCAACTCTGAGGGACTCGGAAGGTTTCTCATGTATACACCTCGCGGCACAGTTCGGCCATACGGCCATCGTAGCCTACTTAGTAGCGAAAGGCGTGAATCCGAATATGCCGGATAGAAGTGCCATGACACCGCTTATGTGGAGCGCTTACAAAGTCAATAGGTATATAAAGTGCACCGAATTACTATTGTGCTACACACGCGGTTCCTTTTATTAGAATGGCATATATTGGTTACTTTAAAGTCTTTCTTTTTACAGTCTAGATCCAACGCGACTGTTGTTGACTTTAGGTGCGTCGCATTCGCTCACCGACAACTTGCACGGTAATACGGCTTTACACTGGGCTATCATAGCGAAAAACAACACGGCGATATCTATCTTAGTGCAACATGGAGCATCGTTGGACTTGCCCAATTTCCAAAACGAAACGCCGATGACGCTGCTGGGTCCGCACATCGGTGCCGCATGGTTGGGTTACAAAATCAGTCAGGAGATCAAAGAAAAGCAAGGTCGTACAAGAACATGGTGTAGAGATAAGGTAACTATATTACGCTATATGTATGTGTTTATATCACGAGTTAGATCGGAATGAAAGTAATATTGCTGAAAAGAGGGGAGGAGATAATTATGATTAGCAAAACTTTTCTATACTACAGTTATATTTCTTTCGATGGCTTAAACTTGTATTGAACTTGTATTGAAAAATTCATTTCACTCTGACATATATATTGAGGAGTGTAATAACAACCAATAAAATAGTTAAGAAACTACTTTACTTTCTTGCTAATTGACATACTTCTTCGACAATTAAAAATGCGATTAATATAAATTTAACTCTTAATTCTTTCTCTATACATTTCTTTCTGTTGCAGAGAATCCGTTGGTACTGCATGGTCAGTACACCATTTATAGCGTTTTATGTGATCGGTATGGTACTACAGAGTGGATGGGATTATTTAATAAAACTAGGTGCCTTCATCACCCTTTACGTAGCGGTGTATCTAATGAACCATTTCGTGTTCGACGAGCGGCTGTTTCACATTCTACCAATGTCGATTTATTTGGCAACTAAGGTGAGGATCGATTCCGAGAGATTCATTTCAGATAATCAAGAACGTGCTCGCACTTGTATAATTAGTTTTACGATAAGCTGTTGTGTACGAGATAAGTAATACTGTCGATAAAACGATAAGCTCAAAAGACTCTAGTTTCAGGTGTACAATACAGTGGACATAAAATATAATTCTTATAATTGATATTATGTAATATCAATATAAGATTTATGACTTCGATTTACAATTGATACTTGCATATCTGTTGCAATATAGTGATATTAATATTTTTAAATAAATGCGAATAAATATTATTCGCATGCGTATTAATTATTATCGACAAATATATCTTCGAATAAGATAAGCTATAATGAGAAGTATAGCTTTGTCAGTATTGTTATAAATATACCTGGAGAGCAGTAAATAGAATATACTCGCGAATATGTCCATAAGTTACTAAATACTTATATTGCATAAAGTATTTTAGTATTTGGCACAAGAAAGAAAACTTGCCGCCAAATTGTCGTGGGAAAATTTGTCGCACAATCGCGGAATACAAATAATTTTACATACAAATGTGAGACACGCAACACACACAGGTTTTACTAGAGACATAATTACGCTCTCGAAGATATTAACAATAAATTATATGTCCCTTCCAGATGTGGATATACGTCACGTGGATATTCTGGCTGGGAATCCATGCAGCTTGGTATTTATGGTTATTATTAGTTGGCGGATCCGTTCCACTCTGGATATGTTTCTTGCAGTCTTGGCGGGGTGATCCCGGAGTTATCACGGCTACACATGAAGACAAATTAAATGTATTTTTTGTTATTTCCATGGCATACAATACTTAGCTTTGTATATTTAGAGCTGTGGATGTATATTCATAGTAAACCCATCAGGGTGTAAAAATATATACAAAAATAATTACATCTTTATTTTGCAGACGATTATCGAGTTAGCAGAGACTGGTGGTTTCGAACCACAATGGTTCTGCAGCAGTTGTTTAGTCAGGCGACCTATGAGATCTAAACATTGCTCCACATGTGACTGTTGTGTAGCACGATTCGATCATCATTGTCCGTGGGTTAATAATTGTATCGGTAGGTGTTTATTAAACGTCACAATAATTTTTCAAAAAGACTATAATTTTTACAAAATCGAAAAGATAGACACCAGTTTTTAATATGCTATTTTCAGGTGCGCATAATCACAAATATTTCCTTGGATTCCTGGCATCTTTGCTAGGATTGTGTATCGTTATTTTATCCGCTAGTGTACAGTATTGGCAGTTCGAGTGTTGGTCAAACTTGACGAATGGGCATAGCGCGGACAACTATTTGGTAGCAGCGGCTACGTGCGACGCGTGGGTAATGTGGGTGGTGGCTAACACGTCTCTCCATTCCTTTTGGGTAGGAACTTTATTAGCGTGCCAATGCTATCAGGTACGATAATTTTATAATATTGTATATTTCATAAATTATTATGGACAAACGAAGAATTCTTTTACTTGCGGAATAATTTTGTACATATTGCGATCGTTCTCATCTTTCCCTCCAGTATATGTATTGTATATACCGCCGAAACCCGAAATCTCTTTCGCAAATTAATCGTACTTCAAGCTTTAAATATGGATGTTTACGGCGAGGGATATTGTTTGTTAATCGGGAAAATCATAATTATGAAGTAATATATATGTTGTCGAAATAAACTGTAGAGACAATTTTAATAATACATTTTAATAATACAATTTTAATAATACATTATAACTCTAACACAGTTATAATATATTTAGAGTCTCTTTGGAAGGTCAAAGTTACAACGTGGAGCAACAATAATATCTTATAAACTGTAATAATTATGTAGGATTACAATTATGTGATTACATGATTGCGCAGAATGTAATTATTTGTTATATTTACAGATTATGGTATTGGGTATGACTACGAACGAACGTATGAACGCCGGCCGTTACAAACACTTCAAACAAGGAAACCCGTTCCATCGTGGCGCGCTGCAAAATGCCGCTGACTTTTGTAACTTCAGTTTCTGTGGTGTGAAAGCAAAACCAAGCTCGGACTGGCTGCACAGCTTTGATCTCAAACAGAGTATCGAAAAGTTACCTTTGCTCGCGCAAAAAGATAACTTTCAGTATGTTTAGAGTTTTGTAAAGAATAAACTATCGTGAATATATTACTTATCGCCAGCCGTGAGAAGCTAATGTACACATATATACAACACACACACATCTACACGCGCAAATACAGCATATCACTTATGCCTGATGTACTTTCTTGGGCCACCAAAGAGTCGCCGCGAATATATAAGTGACTCGTGCGTGTACGGTAGTAATTAATGCATATACAAAGATTTCGCTCGCATATTCTCTAAGTAACTCTACTATAACAGTCGCTAGATTTTTCAACTCGTATGTCTTGGAATACCGTTATATCTCGCGAATGTGCATATCCCTCCTGTACTTTAATCCTTAAAAATATCGACGAGCGACCGAACAATTCGCACAAGTATTTCGTTCAAAGAACCTACTTCTACTACAATATGTCTTGAATCAATTTATAAATGAAGATATAATTCATCAGGTTTATCATTTCGATTGCATATAATTTTTTTTGTATTTGTAGTATTAAGATTTGTTTAAAACGAGTAAAATTTAAAATATTGTTGGCAAATGATAATTCTTCATTTCTTAAAGCTCCTGCTTTTTTTATTGTTACCACTTTTATTAGTGACGTTATAGACGAGAAAATATGGCTGAAAATTTTTGCAAGATATAGTAAAAAAGATATATCCTTTAAATAGCACTTGCTACCAATTGAACAGATTTGATAATTGATAAAAATTAATATGATGTGTACGTACTTTTTGATTACATTTTGTTATTAATTTTACGGCTACTTAATGATCATATTAGAACAAGAAAAAAGTTTTTGAAACCTTTTACAAATTTTTTTATTTCAACATATTTTGCATGAATTTTGAGCTGCATTTTTGACTTCTGACATTATTAATTAAGGTGGTTGAAAACCCAAGAGATAATAGCATATTATAAATAATTGTGGTAATAATTTGTTTTGATTCATCACTGATCATTTTATGTTTGATTTCAATATTACGATCTATGGATGACTATTTGAAGTCGAATACATTCAAGAAGTAAATGCACTTAGAGCCTGAAAGTATATATTATTCAGTGAATGAATTTATAAACTAAAGCTGATATAACACACATACATATACACGCATACACATGCGCGCGTACATACTAATTACATGTAACTCAGCCTACAAGATTACCATTGTAAATTATTTTGCCATTGTTACATCGCATAATCAGAAATTTGTCTATTCTCATTTGTGCAAACATTCGAGAAATATTGACGATATGCTTATTCTCGGAAAAATCCTTGCAATTCGTGATGGTAAAGCGTATAAGTAAATAAATTAACGTATTAAAAAATGCAGAGGAATAATTGAAGTTCCTTTAACACGCAGCATGAAGCAAGTAATTAAATATGAATAATGCAAAGATCACAGTTCGTATATAAAGTGCAAATGAGATAAATAAGAATAATGTGGCCTACATGATATTGCTATAAATGTATAAACTATACGAATTAGAACGTATAAGAAAATCGAACGCTGCGCGGTAGAGAATTACAAGTAAAAGTAAAAAGAAAAACTGCATAATAGTTATTTACGCTATTTATTCCATTGTTCGTATTTTTAAGAGACTTTACCTGATTTAAGTACCATGTTGTGCTTCTTGAAATGCATTTACGCGTACTCGACTTTGTAGACTTCTGTTAAAGATCAACTACTATCTCTATCGGTTACTGTAACATTTAATATTCGTCATATAATGTGATCATAAAGTGATATTGCAAATTATTTGTAATATTATTAAGGATCGTTATAGCTTATAATGTATCATGCATATCTCGTCGAGAACATTTAGATCACAAAAATATTGCTTTTTATATGTTAAGCAAAGAGTAAATCTAGAATATCGTTGAAGTAACAGAAAAATTATTTAACGTCACAAATTGTAACAAGTGTAGCGCTTTGTTTATATTATATCTGATACTTAACTTTAAACTTCTAATAATTTTCCAAATTGTGTGTACAAATTATCGCGATGGAATTTGCCGCTTTTACATTCCAGAATTAATAATAACATTTTATAACGAGAATATAGAACGTCAATTCTTGTATCTCGAATATCTTCGTACATCTCAACAATTTCTTCTATGATTTTGAATATTCGCGCATTTCCGCTCGATTGTTTTATCTTGATACTTTAATCTCAATTTTTATAACACTGTAATTTCTGTATACACAGATGTCAGTCGATAAAAAAATTGAGTATTTGCGCGTGTTCGGTTTCGTTTTATGTGGTTAATATGTACGTGTAAATATATATATATTTAATTTATCAGTTTTTCTATGCAGGAACAATTATATTACTTTTTGAAAGTAATATAATTTTCCAATAAAAGGACATGTCATTTCATTCGATGAGATAGAATGTGCTGTCAAAATGCATATTTTTGTATATTAAATCTGCATTTTGATTGATATATCTAATTTCAAGCATTGTTTAAGAACTTTTATCTCTCCTAATAACGATAAATTCGTGCTTCGATTATTATATATTGTAAACGCTACATATGTATCTTATTCCTCTATAAATAGTTATGTGTGTATCAGCTTTAATTCAACGTCGAATTTAACTTAAGGATCTTATATGATTCAACCAATTGTCTTCGAAATTAATCGTCAAATTTATATGCATTTTACTTTAGGTTCGATTTGTCACTTGTATTTCATTCATAATTGATATAATTTCATACTTGACAAATTCATGTACAGAACGAATGAGAGACACTCGTGTACAAAATGTTGAAACATACAGATAGTTTTAATATGGATACACCTAACAATTACAATCGCAAAAAGAAAAAAAAAAGGAAAAGTGAAACACAAAAGTGAATATTCCATGTCAATGTTGTTAGAGCAAAGAGATACGTGTATAAATATAATATAAATATAGTAATATAAAAGAGATGAAATCGATTATATTGTAATATCGATTTTACATTAGATGTAATTTTTGCGTTTACTCATCAAAAGGTTTTCCTCGCGTGAATCGGATGAGCGGATCCATGTGACTTTGCGTAATTTTGTTTTTTCAATCTAGTCCAACTGAGATTAGTAGACGACATAATATAGCATTGATATATTTTGATGATTGCGATTATCTATAACTGCGTTGTGATTACTTCTTATACAGGAGGTTTAATTGTTAAAAAAAAAAAAGTATTATCTCAACCTCCTGTACATACTATGCGATATTTTAAATAGTGAAACACGATTCTTTGGAAAACGAATTCAACGCGGGATAGCAAATAAGAAGCCCTGCCGCAATTTTTGCATATATTGTAAAATAAATGATATTAAAAACGTTCAATTAGTTAGTGACTCTCATTAATGAAATCTAAATTCGTAGCATCAAGTGAAATTTGATATATTTGGTACTTATTAATGCATAAATAAATTCATTGATGGGAGATAATAAATAACACCGATTATAATAACTAATGTGTTAAATTCTGAGACACTTAATAAATTGTTACATATCGCAAACAGCTATTCATATTTTGACAGCAGCACGTGAAAAATTTGTGCAAAATATATATAGCATATATCAGAATAAACAAACGCAGCTTATTTTTATTGTGAAAAATATAATATGTTATAAAATAAGTCATAACATTTGACTAATAATTCAATGTTATTTTATATATTGATTCATTAATTACGTAATATCCTATATTTCAGATACAATTTTATAATAAGAGTCACCTAACAAAGACCACAACGATTAGTTATTTATTGTGCAATATATGAAAATTATGTGTTAATAATTGCAGTAGGGCTCTAATTTTGACATTTTTTTTCAGTTTCGATTCTTATTGTAAGTCATAAATATCGACGATATATTGCAAAGCAAAAGAGAAAATAATACAACAGAGGAAAGATGAACACGTTTTTACATGAAGAAGAAAATGAAAAAGAATATAGATGTCTCAGCGTTGTAAAAGATATGTACACACGTGCAAGATATTTCTATCGTTATTTATTAAGCTTCATATAAGTGAGATAATTTACTATAAGATTGTAACAAAAATATATATATTATAAAAAAAATTAATTCCAAAGTATTCAGCTATATAATTCACCACTTGTAACACTTTTATTATCACTGTGATTTGCAAAATAATTTGCGGAAAAGGAAAAACATGTATAACATATATACAAAGTTATTGAATGTACGAATTGCTGTTACATTTTTGGCAAATTATAACGTAATATATACACAATAATGATATAACATTTATTATTTCTCTATAGAGACGATAATTATCCTATTTTATTTATTCAAGTTCAATGTTAATAAAAAAATCTAGTTTTAACGTATATTTACTTCGTTTGCAAAGAAAATTTTTGAAGGCAAAGAAGAGGTGTTTTTCTCAATGTCTTTTTAAAACATATACAATATTTTTAATAAAAATTAATTTTCTTTATAAAAACTTAACTGAAAATAAAGTTAAAAATTAAACAATCTTCATTTTGTATTTAGCTCAGTATAATTTAACTCAGTATAATTAACAATAAACAATAATATAAATTAAAAATTCCTGAAAAGCACAGACTTTAAGCTTTCAAATGCTTTTAACTATTTTATTATCGTCATTTTTATCAAAGTCTCTTGAATTTTGTCTATAAATTAAGAAAAAGTACGGTCGATTTGTTTAAATCATACCACCTCGATTTTTTGTAAGTATAGTGGCAGCTCATAGTGGAGACTTTGAAACTAAAATCTTACACACAGAAGCTTTAAGCAGAGTCTACAATAGAAGTTATAAAATCCTAAGAAAATTGATTAGTCAGTCGATTATTCTCTTTGTAGTCGAAGAATAAACAATTGTGATTGACCTGTTTTTTTACGACTTTATGATTTAGAACTTTACAACTTCTATTGTAGACCTCGCTTTATACCTGTTCAATCAACAATTGTGGTCTGGTCTTTTTAAAGGGTTTTTCAATAAGGGCGGGTTGATGTTGCAATGGAATAAAACAAGCTGTGTATGAGGTATTAACGAAATTCTTTTTTTATTTGAAAGGCCCATGTATGCCATTATGTGTGGAATATAACATCGTTCAAATGTCCGCCGCGGCTTCTCACGGTGGCACGGATTCGAGTGGTCCAATTTTCAATGATTTTGCCGCATAGATCCGGCTGAATTTGAGCGATGGTCTGGGTTATGTTGACTTTAAGGGCATCGGTCGATTGCGGCTTATTGGCATAGACCTGCGACTTCAGAAAACCCCACAAGAAAAAGTCTAGCGGGGTCAAATCGCACGATCTTGGTGGCCAATTCACGTCACCTCTGCGAGAGATAACTATACCCTCAATCGTTCATGCAGAATGTCCATTGTGCCGTCCGCTGTGTGGCACGTAGCGTCGTCCTGCTGGAACCACATGTCGTCCACGTCCATATCGTTCAATTTGGGCCAAAAGAAATTGGTTATCATCGTTCTGTAACGTTCGTCATTGACGGTGATTGCCTCACCAACGTCGTTTTCAAAAAAGTACGGACCAATGACGCCGCCGGCCCAAAATCCGCACCAAACAGTAACTTTTTGTGGATGCATTTCTACCTGTTGAACCTCGTGTGGGTTGGTGTCGTGCAATATACGGCAATTATGCTTGTTAACATAGCCATTCATCCAAAAATGTGCCTCGTCGCTAAAGATGATTTTTCGGCCAAAATTGGGGTCCTCTTCCAAATGCTCCGAAGCCCAGTCAGCGAACAAACGGCGTTGTCTATGGTCATTAACTTTGAGCTCCTGGGAGTTGTCTATGGTCATTAACTTTGAGCTCCTGGGAGTTGGATCTTATACGGGTGCAGGCCCAAGTCCCGACGCAAAATTCGCCAAGTTGAAGTCTGCGAAAGGCCGAGGTCTTGTGCACGGCGAGGAATTGACTGCCTCGGGTTCTTCTGCACACTTTCACTTACAGCGGCGATGTTCTCGGCCGATCTGGCGTTCCTTTGACGTACGGATGTTGGCTGATCGTTTACCGAACCGGTCGTCTCGAATTTGGCCACCAAACGTTGGAGAGTCGACTTTGAAGGACCACCGCGTCTGCCGTAAAATGGGCGCAACGCGCGCAACGTTTGCACTAACGAACACTCATTTTCATAATAAAGTTTTATGATTTGGACGTGCTGCTCAATCGTGTAACTTGTCATGGTGATTTGGCATCAGTGACTGAATAATAAACAACAGGTTAAACAGACGCCGCCAAGACAACATGGCCGCCACAGGCTGCCAACATCGACCCGCACCAATTGAAAAACCCTGTAGTTGCACTGCTGAACTAGTGCAATAAGAGAATAGGCCTGTTCGTTTTGTCTGCACTGCTGAACTGGGCCTTAGAGTTAAAGTGAGACAAACGTAGGTTTTCTCACTTCAACTTGTTGCACCAGTTCAGCAGTGCAGACAAACGAACAGGCCTGATGAGACTACTATATTTTTTCTCTTTCTAACTTCTTGCATCAGTTTAGTGGTCTGTTCTTTTCTTCTGCACCGCTGCACTGGTGCAATAAGTTAAAGTAAGACAAATATATACTTGTCTCACTCGAACTTATTGCACTAGTGCAGCGGTACAGAGAAAAAGAACAGACCTTAGCAGTGCAATTAAAAAGAACAGATTTTTGTTTACTTACTTATTCATAGTATAGCATTTATATAATTATTTCAATAAATCTATTTTACGTAAATATTAAATTTTTTTAAAATAAATAATTTATCTACTAATGTTAACATTTTACATACACTACTATGTTCATGCAACATATAGAAGGAAACGTATCATATGTTATAGCTCTAACCTTATTTAATCTAGTTTAATTTATCTCTAACTTCAACAGTTCGTAGTGTGGACACCTCTTTTTGCTTGACTCGATTTTATGATGGATGTTCCTGTTAAAACTGTGTTCGGTGAAAAAGAATTACTCAGAAATCACCCACCACCTGTTACATTAGAGGATATGATAACAGATATATGTTTCCATCCTGCAGCAGATAGGATAGGGGTAGCTAGTATTACAGGAGATATCTTTATGTACGTTTAATTATATATATTTATCAGGACAAGCACTTTATTTTAATTTTTGCATTAGGTATAAATATAACAATGAGGAAACTAGTCTTGTTTCGACATTAGAATTGCATCTCAAAGCTTGCCGGGATATTGAATTCAGTGAGGATGGACAGATGTTATTCTCAGCTGGAAAGGATCGATGTATAGCAATAACTGATGTGAACACTGAAAAATTAATTAGAATATATGAAAAAGCTCATGAGTAAGTATAACATATATATCAATGTATAATCCTTATAGATTCATTGATAATTATGACACATATTAATAAGCTTCTTTTCTTAATGTAATTCTAGACATCCTATATATACAATGACAGTTATTAGCGAGCACACATTTGCGACGGGCGATGACGATGGTGTAATAAGACGTAATAATAACTCATACTTGGTAGGTTTCAAATCTTGAATCAAAGAGAATTGTATAACAAATAATATTTTCAGTATGGGACCTTAGACAGAAGGGAAGTAAACCAATATTTTCTTTAAAAGAAGTAGAAGAGTACATTAATGCAATAATAACCAAAACAGACTCCAAGTACTTGGCATATACTAGTGGTGATGGCTGTCTGACTACTCTAAACATACCAGAGAGGAAATTATATATACAGGTATTGTGGACAATGACAGTCACATTATAGTATAGTATTTAATTTCATTTTGTTTATAGTCCGAAGAATACGACGAGGAATTGATGTGTCTTGGTTTATTTAAATCAGAGAGTAAATTGTTAGCACCTAGTAGCAAAGGAAAAATATATATATTCAATTGGGGTGAATTTGGACTGCACTCAGATGAATTTCCAAGTATTACGAAGAAGGCCATAAATTGTATAGTTCCGATTACGGAAAATGTAGTGATAACTGGAGGAGAGGATGGAATCATTCGGTGAGTGAATTATTAAAAATCGAGTACGATACTTCATATCGTTTATAATTATGTGATATATAATCCCTATATAATGCACTCAGGGCAACCAGTCTATTTCCTCATCGCCAACTTGGTATAGTGGGACAACATGACTTTTCTGTTGAGGCGCTTGATATTTGTAATGACGGAACTTTAATAGCATCCACATCCTCGCACAATAACGATATCAAATTCTGGAATGTGCAATATTTCGAGACACTGAACGTTACCGAACCCGTGAAAGGTGGCAAGCAGAAACGTCTTGTGCACAATCTGCCGAGTAGTCAAGTTAGCAACCCATCTGATTTTTTCGCAGAATTGTAATATAATAACAGTTTTATGAAATAAAAGTATGCAATTTGTACGCTGTATTCAGTCATCAAAATGTTGCGATATATTCCCTCTAAATGCCACTCTGAAGGAGATCTAAATAAAATTATAATTTTATAGTACCGTTCGCGTTCGAAGACCAAGTATACGTCAAGTAACGTACAGAAATGAACAGATGAATAGATAGTGTTATAAAACACGTACATTTTTATACAGTTATTACCAGTACATGAGCGGTACTACATAAACTTACGTATGATATGAATAATACTCATGCGCGATACCTTATGTTTCAAATCAAACATGGAATATCTTACAAGATAGACTCGTAATAACTGTTACATCGATGGACCGCCATATCTGCGACCATACAAAGTATGGTCGTACATTATCAATTCTGTTACCTATAAATCGCGCGCGCGTTTAGATGAAGCAATACTATTACACATAATAAACCTGTCTATTTATAAATACTCGCTGTATGTCATCAATGAAATGTAGATCGATTGAAGCCGCAATAGTGCATTTCGACGCAATAAACTGAACACTCACAGATCCGTTGCTCCTCTTTGTCTCTTTCTCATGCTCCTATAAATTCGCGTTTATCGCGTTAAAAAAGATGTCGCACAATCTGTTAATTCGTAGTGACTGAATTAACGGATAGGTAGTACAAACGATACCTCGCGACGTAAAAGACGATATAAAATATAAATTATATTTCTTTAGCTAGAAACATCTCCTCATAAAAACAAGGACTGATTTCGCTCATATTAACGCCGTCCCGTTACGTTCTAGTCGTATTGACTGCAGTCTTTTTCTTTTTTCTTTTATGATCACTTAACTCATTGGTGATTAATTTGGCGTAAATATTCCGGCGCGTGGTAATGCTGCTGTTGTTGTGCATGTGCCAAGGAAGGGTGTATCGGCGGCTGAAAGCATCGTACGTGTTCCACACTAGCCGCGTCGCTGTCGCCGCTCTTTAAATACTTATTCAACACGGCGAATATTTGTGAATTTAAAACCTGGAATCGTCTTATTCGATCCACCATCCTTTTCAGGTGCTGTAAGAATAAACATGTCATTAGATCAAACAATATAGACTGTATAAGCTTCTTCAAGTACACACATACAATATACTTACTATTCCTTTCACATTTTCGTCTTTACCGTCTACACGTTGTACTCTGAGAATGTGGTAACAAAAGTCGAGCGCTTCAAATCGACGTTGTTGACCTAGGAGAACGATCATAGCACATCCAGCCCAATGCAGACCCTCGCCGAACAATTCCCTGCAAGAGAAAAACTACAGTAACAACGATACTCTGATATGCATTATAAAGAGGAAGTATAAAACAAATAAACAAGCAAAAGCACGGTCTATTTATTTTTTTTTTGAGAAAACTTTACATTGGAAGGAAGAATCATGCAAAACATGAATAGAAATAAATTTTTTGATAAGAACATTTCGTTGAAAACATTACTCTTTGTTTTTCTTCTCATACAAATTTATCCGAAAAAGATAACACGTGCAAGTACTTTTTTATCTACTGTATATGAGTATCGCATATAATGTGAATTGTTGTACTAACTCGACAGTAAATTCGGTTTCGCCAACGGGAATGCAGTACACAAATTGAAGTGCGCTCCATAGCCTGTGAAACTCCGTGCACTCGTCCACGTTCATTACGCCGTTCGCTGGCGGTGGACCAACCCAAATAGGATCGTCCAGAAAGCTTCGTAATCTGCTGAGCACAACCTCAAATATCGACAAACCGCAGCACAACCGTTCGCGTGTTAATAAATCTCCTTCCCTGGCGATCATCGCTTGCTGCGGGAATGACGGGCAAATGATGCATAATTCACATCCAAGAAAAACACATAGCTCTTATATTCAGAGGATAAGTTGTATTATTCCTTACTTTAGCAGTGCCCAACTTCTCCACGTTAGGTACGATTTGTAAAGCTGCGTATTTCGCTTCCAGTCGTTTCTGCTTAGTCTCAGGTTTCTCCCCCTCTGAAAATGTTAAACGTAAACGATAAAAGTTGATCTGTCTCTCGCTCCATGTAGTTCTTTTTTTTTTAATTATTTATCCATATCTTTGTCAAGTACGATTCACACTCACCTTTACAGTATGGTCTAGGAAGAATGTTCTGGAAAGGTGCGGCATGCAGCAAGTCGCACACTTCCTCCTGCGACAAGGCCTGCTCCATCAAGAGACAAAACAGGATCGTATTACCGAATTCGCGGAAATTGTGAAACAGCTCGGTCTTAGCGTCCGGATATTGCACGATATCATTCAACTGAGCATGGTAATAACCTAAGACACCTGGGGATCCATAATCATATCGTGGAAGCTTGCACACTTTCGGCATGGCTTCCATTAGAGTCTTGGTGAATTGATGTAGACTGCCTTGGATCAATGTCTTGACGATCTTTAAAAGTTCTTCCATCACCACGGCTATTCCTTGGTATCCAAGAAGCTTACATATAGTGCGGAAGTGATACGGACCGACGAATCCTGAGTACTGGCCGTATTGAGTGCTGTAAGCCAGATTCAACTGCTTGCTACCCCACAGATAGTGATGCGACATTTGCGGAGGCTTGTCTCTGTGAACGGGTTGCACGAATTGTATGCCACGACATCTGACAAATCTGTAAAATGCATGAGATGTGATTAGTATGATATATATTTAATAACGGTGATAATATAAATTCCTAATAAGGACAAGCAAGGGCATGCATTTAGATTATACGATTATACATACCTGTTCGTGGCAGCGTTGTAACAATAATTCGGCAGAAAATCATAATTTAGTTCCCAAAATACATGAAGAGTGATCCTACCGTAAGGAGCTAGAACGTTGTGATTTGCTTCCCTGAACATGGCGTCGTATTCGTCCAACGCTAGCCATTTGCTCAGAAGCTTGTGAGTCAGACGATTCACTTGTAACAAGCCATCCAGTTCCTGTAGAGTGTTACAAAGCGAGGGATAATCAGCGAGAACAGTTGTGAAGAACGTCCAAGTATTGGGTGAGTGCAAAAGTTCGTGCGGAGTTTCAATAGATGGAGTTATAAGCGTCGTAAAGTGTTGTCATTAATACTTCCATCTACATATTATATAACGTTGGAAAGGTGACGTCTTCAGCTGTTATTAAAAAAAAAATCATTTGTTTTCATACAAACTGCTTCGAGAAATATCACTTTAAAAATGAGTATCGATAAGGTGCATTTACGGCATGTTATGCTTTACGAGATTCGGAAGAGAATAAACGTTGCCGCAGCCGTAAAAAACATTCAGGATGTTTATCAGGATGAAGCACCAGCTAAACGAACTGTGGAAAAATGGTTTGCTAAATTTCGGCGCGGAGAATTTAACCTTGAAGACGAGCCACGCTTTGGTCGATCTTCTGACATTGACGACGATGTTTTGCGTACTTTAGTGCTCAATAATCCGCGAATTTCAACAGAAGTTGCTACAGCACTAAACGTTGACCGATCAACCACTTTTCGGCGTTTAAAAGAGATGGGATTCGATTCGAAGCTCGATATATGGGTGCCCCATTTGGTGACCGAGAAGAACAAAATCAAGCAAATTTCTGCAGCCGTTTCTTTACTCGGGCGGCTCAATAACGAGTCGTTTTTGGATCGACTAGTGACGGGCGATGAAAAATGGGTCCTCTACAACAATGTTCAGCGCAAACGGACATGGAAACAATCAGGTGAGCATGGTGACGCAATGCCAAAGGCCAGTTTGCACCCGATGAAGGTGATGCTCTCTGTTTGGTGGGATTGCAAGGGCATAATCTATTTCGAGCTTCTCCCCGCTGGCGAAACGATTGATTCGGACAAGTACTGTCGTCAATTAACCAATCTGAATCGAGAAATAAAAGAGAAACGTCCGATTTTGTCAAATCGCAAGGGAGTCGTCTTTCATCACGACAACGCCAGACCACACGTTTCGAAAAAGACGCTGCGCAAACTGAAGAACCTGAAATGGGATGTCTTAACACATCCACCGTATTCTCCTGATATCGCACTATCTGACTATCACTTGTTCCGGTCATTGCAAAATTATTTAAATGGAAAAAACTTTGACTCTTTGGAGGCCTTAAAAAACGGCGTCTCTTCGTTCTTCGAATCTAAACCGCGCAGTTTTTATGATCGAGGCATCCGTATGCTGCCAGAACGTTGGGAAAAGATTATAGAAAACGATGGAGAATATATCATTGATTGAATAAAGATTTTTGTTTGCCTAATCACTGTGTGACTTTTACTCACAAACTCCGCACGAACTTTTGCACTCACCCAATATTTGCCACGATAATCGTAAAAGGTGCTCACCACAACTCCAGTGATATCGCCGGATTCGAATTTACTGATCGCCAAATCTAGAGACTTTTGCATATCCGCGTTGATACGTTGCGTTATAAGTTTGTTCAGATCGATGCTTCTCCCTAGCAGTTGAACGTGCCTCTGCTTCAACAAGGTCTCATATCTGTTGGCACGTGGATACGGCAGTAGATATGCTCCGAGGGCCACACACTCCACTCTGAAGCGTTTGTCCAACAAGATACTGGCCGCCAACTGTTTGTAATGCGCGAAGATCTGCTCACTGAGTTTGTACACAAACTGATCGAAGCACAGATTCACTTCGGCTTCCACCTCGTCGTACAGAAATTGCTTGCGGAATATCGTGAGCGCGTACAGCGCGCTATCGTTATACAAATCCAGAGGATACAATACATATCTGTAAAAAATTAAAATAATAGTACGAATAATTAATAATATAACAATAGATAATAATAATAATAATAATATATAATAATATAACTTACTCCATCATCGATGGTTCCTTACTTCTCAATATGTGGTCGGTCAATATCCATGGCATCGACATTTCAATCGGAAACTGAAACATTTTTATTGATTAAACTTGAAATTTCGGATGCCTCTCGCTAAGCGTTACTTCCTTCGAACATCAGAATCCGTAGTTCAAAGAAAGCACACAAAAGGAGAGATACCCTATATATATATATATATGCAAACACTGAATTTCTACGTGGTAGCTTTCTTGCTAGACACATTATGGCCTGAGAGAAAAAGATTCAATTAATTTCCAACATGTTGCAAACACAAAACACCATCGTTTCATCTTTCATCAGTTTACGCGGCAGCAAACGAGAAGTACCTGAATGCGTTTCTCCATGGTGATCAGGTCGCTGCATTCTTCGTTATGCTGGTGACGTACTTGGCATTTCTAGTCATGGAATAGATTACAAAGAATGCTATTTTCGTAATAGTAGCTTCGGTATGTAGCGAAACGGAAATCGTATCGACAATAAGGTAAAACTTACATTTCTGCTGTTTGTATACGTGTACGTGTATGTTCGTGCGATATGTGAGATCGACAAATGTTGTGTGCACTTTTTTATGTATTAATTTGTTCAATGGAGAAGTTATACGCAATGAAATTATCCTAAAATTTACGCTGCGCGATGGTGTGTCTAATCAAGAGTAAACGAACGTCATTGCTTACCTGTATTTTTCTACCCATGGTCATTTCCAGATAAAATTCTCTATACCACAGTTGCGACAAGTCACAACAATTCTGTAGAGATTCTGTGGCGAAAGGAAAATAAGAACATCGTTAAGTTCTATGACTATGTATTTGAGAGTAACCAAATATTTACTCACCACTGAAATTCAGAAGATAACTCCAGTAGAAACTAGTTTTATGGAATTGATCGATTTGCACGAGATACTGGCCGTCGATGTCCTTCCTCAAGGTGCGTTTCCCACCACTTTTATCAGCGATCAGCGATTCCAGCATGGTTCGCACCATGTAAAGTTGCGTGGAAGACGGACCTATTTCATGTTTTATCACAATCAATTTTAAAACTCGATAATGAACTTGAGAACAAAATGTGGATACATTGTACAATTATTTATCGCAGTATGTTAGGGCTCACCAACGTTTCTACGTGGAACTTTAATACCAAAACCATTATCCGGGTCTTTTTTGCCTTTCAAAGCGGGATCTCCTAGTGGTTCTACTCCGAAGTGCCAATCGGCACAAGTTTCTCTCACGGAAACTATTATACTGCAAAGAATGAAAAAGATTTCTATAATTTAAGCGCATTTGGATGTATGTCCACGTTAACAGAAATTAAATTTGTCAAACTAACTTGTGTGAATATGGAAGAGAAATAAAATTTGTAGAAATGTAACTAAAACAAAGTTTTCACTAACCTTCTAATCAGATCCTTCTTGTTTTTAATCGCCTTTCTTAAGGGTTCTCGCAATGCGAGTTGTACAAAGTCTTGTAATTCGGCATATATATTTCTACGTATTGCATCGATAAAAACAGTCTCCATACGCGCCATCAGTACTTGCAGACCTTTAATCATTGCTATAACTTCTATGAGGGCAAACTTCTCTTCGTCAGAATAATTGTAACGTGTAGCCTACATAAAAAAATATAGAAAATAAGCAAGCTTACTAGAAATATGCTTATATGATTAAATATTTATTTGACAATACAATATCATATAAAAACTTACTCTCTCATATTCTTCAGCCTCTTGTGGACATTCCTTGTTCATATGATGGTCAGTGGGATGCAGTAGCTTCCAACTATACAATTCCGTCACGACACTAGTCCATTGCGACAGCAATTGCAATCCACGTAATGCCAGCTCTGCAGTGTCACGATTTTCCGTGTCGCTTCGGCACTCCTTATATGTAGTGGTGACTTCATTGCTATACCTATATATATGTTACATAATTTTATTAAGAGTTGTAAATAAAATAATAATAATAAGATTAGGACATGTAAAAAGAATGTTACCTTGCCAATTCACTGATGTATTTCACGTGATCCTCTCTAATTTGAGGAAGATGAACCATAAGATCGGCTTGTGGACTTATATTATTTGATGAAGAGGATAAAGGCCATCTCGACGCGTCGAAGTGTTTAGAACGCTTGATATAATTAAATGGTGCAATCTGCATGTCCCCGAACAATGGTACCACTTCCAAATTCTTAAAGATTCTATCGATTCTGTCTAGCTTTAACTTTTTCTTCTGATCGAGTTTATTGATGTTACACAATTCGCTATCCATTAAGAATAAACCAAAGCCCATCACCTTTACCAACATATGCTTCTCATTGGGTGTGAGGTACATTTTGGCTTCAAACATATGAACACAAATGTTGACAACATCCGCAAGTAATTCCTCATATCCTGCAATTTTCTCTAGATTCTCTTTTACTGTGTCACGAATTTTGTTTTGCGTTGCTAGAAACATTGATAAATTTTGTGACTCCTGTAATGTTTGAGAGTCAGACATCACCTTTAAAAATTGTGCAGCTCTGTGAAATTGAGAAAAATATATTTATAGAGCAATAAATATACAATTGAAGAAAAAATTAAACATTTTTTTTTTTTTTTACAAATTACCTCCTATATGTCGAATAATCATTTTTTACACTAGATTTCATGTTTTTCAATTCATCCAACACAGCAAACATATTAATGAATTTTCCCAAGGTTAACAAATAAGCTTCAGATACAAAATCTTTTCTCTTTTCATGATGACATAATCGCTTAACTTCTCCTGAGAATCGTTCAATTGCTTTCCTCTAAAATACAAATATATGTTAATATAAACAATATACAGAATAAAGCCAAAATAATAATAATATAGTACAATTTTTACTTACTTGAAAATACATAAAATTTAATAACTTATTTACTTCAGGTGCTAATACTTCTACTGTTTTTTCATAAATCTCTACTCTATTTGGCTGTTCATTAGATTTTGGTTGAGGAATTGCACGTGAACAACATCTCCATGTATATAACATAACAGCATGTTCTAAACCTTCTTCTAATAATTCATTCTGGATTTTTAAGATAACATTTCATTAATTAGATCAATAAATATATGTATAGAATGTTATATATACAATATAAGCTTACCAGGCTGGCATGCACAGTTGCTTCTTCTATGTACTTGGCAATACCTGTTACAAAACCATTTCTGTCCTCAAAGTTAGTGTCAAAGTTAGCTTGATATACTACAGAACATGGTTGAGCTTCTATACAAGGTTGCTCGTCCGGTAGTGTAAATTCATCCAATACATCAACGTTCGACAGGGCGTCTCCTAAGGTAACTTTATCGGTAGTCATTTCGTCACTGATTTGTGAAACTGTCTTCCGGTAGAAAACACACCGAACCCCAGGAGGTTAAGTATGCCGAACAATTAGCCAGATATACGTTTCCACATATACACTAATTATGTATCGTGAATAAACATCGCAGTGTATCCCGAAATCGGGATTGTCGAACTTGACGTTTGTAAATTACGAGCAAGATCGTATAAGATCGAAAGAGAAGTTCCAAACACCAAATGATTAAGAAACATTTGGAAATAACGGATGTTCTGCTACGATCGTGGCGAACTTTTAATCGTCATGCGATCCGATATTCCTTCTTCAAGTATCAAAAATCAGGAACATAGCGTATGCACTGTATAAGAAGACAACAGGATGAAATCAATGAAATATGCAGAGGAAGGAAGCATCACTCTATCTCTATTTCTCTCTCTCTCTCTCAATATCGGCTAAAGGAGGAAGAAAATATTACCCGGATGATAGGTATCGAAGGAGAATCGCAGTCAGTTCAGTCGATAATCGGTTATCATTGAAGTCGATGTTGACATCGATGTTCACGTTGAGACACGCCTATTGGTCTGTTCTTTTTAGCTGCATTGCGAAACTAGTGCGATAAGTTAAGCCAGCGGCACACGGTGCTTGTTTTCGTGCTGGATTGTTTGCTAAATGAAAATACTGCGTTCTGATTGGTACATTTCCGAAGATGGATGGAAACGCACCAATCAGAACGCAGTATTTTCACCCAGCAAGCAATCCAGCACTAAAACAAGCACCGTGTGCCGCTGGCTTTAGAATGAGACAACTATATTTTTTCTCACTTTAACTTATTGCACCAGTTCAGTAGTGCAGCTAAAAAGAACAGACCACATATGTCAAATGGTTTGTTCTTTGTAGCTGCACTGTTGAACTGGCGCAATAAGTTAAAGGAGACAAATATAGGTTTTCTCACTCCAGCTTATTGCACCAGTTCAGCAGTGCAATTACAAAGAACAGACCAAATATAAGGTCGATTCATCACAGACTTCTATTACTCGTATTCATAGTCAGGCCTTATATTTGAAGCTTCCTTATATCCATCTTTAGATGGATGCTGTACGGATTATTTTATTGGCTATAGACCATCTGAAGATAAATTTAAGGAAGTCTTAAATATAAGGCCTGACTATGAATACGACTATGTATAGTATAACTAGACTGCTAATTTCCTTATATACTGTAGCACAAAATTGACCCCAAAAAGTATGTACATACATGAGGGAATCAAATATCTGCGCATGCGTGAATTGAAGTCCATAAGAAGAGGGGGTATATAAGCAATATGGCCCATCCAATTAGAAGAAATGTGTTTTGATTCAACCAATCAGACGTGAATGTCGGACACCAGGACGGTACATACTTTTCGGGATCATGTATTGAGTCAGAGTAAGGCCCAGTTCCACAACTTGCTTTAAACGGAGTTTAAAGCAAATTGTGGAACTGGGCCTTAGCAGTCTAGTTATACTATAGGATTGCTTGCTGGATAAAAATACTGCGTTCTGATTGGTACATTTCCGAAGATAGATTATTTTTATCCAGCAAGCAATTCAGCACAAAAACAAGCACCGTGTGCTGCTGGCTTAATTTTGTTGTACAATTTCTCTTAAACAAAGGCCTATTCACACAAATGCTTTTAGGGTTTTCATCTCCTATATTCAACCTATCGAACAAGCTATAACTCGTCCAGAAATCTATTTTGCAATTCGCGGCCATTCTATAGGTCTGTTTTTTATCGCTGAACTAATGTACGTTCAGGGAACATAAAAAGAAATAGATATACATCTAGGAGTTAGTGAAAGGGAGGGAAGAAGAGAATAAGTGCAAGTTAGTGCAGCCAGTTCAGCAATAGAAAACAAATCTCTTGTGAGTGGGATCTAGTTTGCCACGTTACGATTGGATACAACCAATAATATTACTTAAATTTAATCTAAGCCAGCGGCACATGGTGCTTGTTTTCGTGCTAGATTGCTTGCTAGATGAAAATGGGTGCCTCTGATAACCTGGTTAGAGTTAAGTTTCCTAGGAATAAAACATACGTATAGGTACAACCATCTACTACCATCATACTTCGTGACTTATAATGTTGATATTTAATGTTGAAACGATAATTAATGTTGAAACATATTAATTATATTGGAAATTGTTTTCATATTTATCTATAACGGAAAAGAATTAAGGATAGATATTACAAGCAAAATGTAAGAATTGTTTACATACTTATGTCATACCATGTATATTTCATTTCTCGCCTTTCGTTGTGAGTCACTACGTGTGAGTGGCGTTGGAGCATCTATTGTATGCACAGAGCCATCTATTGAAGAAGAAGAAGAAGTTGTGAGTCACTACGCAAGGGTGCTCCGCAGACGGAACAGCAGCTCTCATTCTTCTCGAGTCGGAATGTGTCCCGAAAGTTATTAAAAAAAAAGTGATAACCTTTATGTTCAGGATCGTACACTGAACGCAACTGTGCTGCGATTCTGTAACTCGTTATTGGAGTTAACGACAGTTTCGTTACTGTTGCGCAGCTTTTCTACGGTATACAAAAGCTGCGCAACGATAACGAAAGTGTCGTTAACTCCAATAACAAGTTACAGAATCGCGGTACTGTACTGCGATTCTGTAACTCGTTATTGGAGTTAACAACACTTTCGTTATCGTTGCGCAGCTTTTGTATACCGTAGAAAAGCTACAATAACGCAACAATAACGAAAGTGTCGTTAACTCCAATAACGAGTTACAGAATCGCAGAGCTGGGGCCCTATTCTTGAATCTATACGCAACTTTACGTATACGCACGTTGCGAATAGTAAAAATGCGCATACATTTCTGACACGGTATTCTTGAACTTAATTGTGTAGTATTCGCAACTAGAAACGTATACGCTTTCCGTTGCGTTCAATTACGTTTAACAACATTGGAAAACATATGTACTTTCCGCAAATATCGACCAAAAATACGATACAACGAACTTTAATTGACTGCGTTCAGCAGAACAAAATGGAAAATATGGAACTAATATGGAAAAATTTTCTTGGTTCTTCCATTATTTCAGCATGTTCTAACGCATTTATGACTTGTATGTTTACTATTATATCGTCTAAATCCATTATTGTCACAGTTTTACTCTATAATTAAAATGCAATGAAATTTATATGCTATTTTCTCTTAAATTTCATATCTATTATTTCCCTTACGGATATGTAAAGTCAGCTATTATTTTCCACTCTTTTAGCCGTCTTATCATCGAATTATTCTTCTTCTTAATAACAATGTGTTTCTATGTGTACTCTTATACTCCACTTTCTATACTTTGCATAACGTATCACATACATTTCGAGAGAAACGGATGGTATTACCCATTCGTTGCATTGCGAATAATAATTTGCGTATACGTTTCACTTGTGACTGTCAAGAATACGGTTCTAGGGATTTTCCATTGCGATTAGTCGAAACTTGCCACTTGCGTATAGTTCTACTATACGCAAGTGGCAAGGGTTGAACTACTTGCAAGTAGTTCAAGAATAGGGACCCTGATCTGCGCGATTTTGTTGCGCGGAAGAAATATCAGATAAACGTATTAAATATTACGGCCCGTCTACACGCTTGTGTGTCTTTATAAATATTTTTATAAATATAATTCATATGTGTCTGTTATAATGTATTTTACACCATCCTTGACATTCCCCGCTATATATATATTTGGATTTATGACTGTTTTCTTTAGTATTTTCTTTATAGGCTGCGCCATGTTGGATCGGAGACTGATCAGTAGAGGTAGCGACGGATATTTATGATGAGAAAAAGGGTGACCGTTCACTCAACATGTTGCGAGTGAGCGCATCGCTCAGTAGCGTTCAGGACTACGTTCCGTTTCACGCATTATGCGCGCATTTTCTACAGTATACATAACATGAACTATATATAAATGCACGCATATGCGTGAACGGAACGCGGCCCCAGGACGAAATCACTCACAGTTGCACAATCGTTGAGTGTCGTGAACGTATCCACTGAGTACCACTGTTTGGTTCGATTGAAAATCCAATTACATGTCATAAACATTTTAAGTAAAGATTATATTTGATTAGAAGAAAAATGTGAAATGTATATCGAGAAGATAAGTTATCAATGCCGCTGTTTTTCTTAGTAATCGCCATCCACAAGCTGTTTGATACTATTTAACAGCTATTGATAGAAAACGTGCAATTGTTGAAGCTGAGCGTAATATTAACCAATTTCTCGTTTAATTTTGTAATAATTATTAATAGGAGTGATACGCTGGAATAATGACGAGTGAAGTTTCAACAAATATCCTAACGTTAAATTGTTGGTAAGTGATATATTTGCTGTGGTAGAAAATTTAAAATTATTTTACAAAATTTATATTAATCATGATGATCTTTGATTTGTATACAATAATTACTTAGGAAACATATCTGTTACTAAAATTTTATTTATATACGTTTAGTGTGTAGAACAAGAATACAAAAATGAAAATTATTGCTTGATACTTAAAAAGGATAATGTAACTTCTTCAAAGTTAGGAGGTGTCACTTATTTAATTTGTTACCTATTATTGCTTTGAATAATCATATAACTAATTCTACTATTTACTATTATTACATTATTTTTGCATATATGATTAATCTATAAATATAAAATTTACAAAATTAAGAAATATCATATTGAGATCACAAATATTATAAAAAAATAATATACATTAGAATAATGATTTTAATTACCATTTTTATATTTTATATTCACAATAATATGCAATAATAGGAAATTACATATAAACTGATCACAGAAACTTAAATATATTCTATGAGAATAATCTGAGCTTTCTGTTTCATTTAGGGGCATACCATATGTTTCAAAAAATAGAGTAGCACGTATATCTGCTATTGCAGAAAAATGTACTAGCAGAGAATATGACATAATTTGCTTACAAGAGGTATGGTCTGTCGATGATTTTAAGATAATAAAAACAAAAGTACAGGAAGTATTGCCGTATTCACATTACTTTTATAGGTGCATTATTTAACTTATATTATTAAATATATGTTTAGGTGGTATAATATTCACTAAGATCCTATGTTTTTTCCCATATAGTGGTGTTGTCGGATCAGGAATATGTATATTATCGTGTTATCCTATTCATGAAGTTATGTTTCACAAATGGCCTTTGAATGGATATGTTCATAAGATACATCATGGTGACTGGTTTGGTGGCAAAGGTGTTGGCCTTTGTAAGATCAAAATTTGCAATATGAATGTTAATGTGTATATTGCACATGTATGTTTATCTAACGTACTTTTTTGTCATAATTAATATATAATTATGTACATAGTATTATCCATTTATGTAACATAGACAATTTAAATTATCTATGCAAACTACAATTAATTTAAAGTATTGATGGAAACTTATAGTTTAAAAGATAAATCCATCAAATATTCATCATTCTTCACTTTGCAGTTACATGCAGAATATAATAGGAAGAATGATGAATACATGGCTCACAGAGTGTTGCAGGCATTTGACACTGCCCAATTCGTAAGAATGACCAGCGGCGGCGCGGACGCTGTAATATTAGCCGGCGATCTTAATACCGAGCCGCAAGATTTAGCATATAGAATTATATGTGGTGTTGCTGGTTTAACGGACGCGTGTCCGAATAGCGCAAGTTATATAGGGACCAACGAGTGTGCCAATAACAGTTATACTGCTTCGAAGCTCGTCCGTACTAGACCAGAGGGAAAACGTATAGATTATATTTTGTATTTAGATTCAGATGTTATTAAAGTAAGCAAACTATAATGTACCGATGTCAGCTCTACTTACTGATATATATCATACGAAAATATCAGCATTGTAACAATTTGCAGGCTGAAATCACAAATTACAAATTGCCTTTGCCAAATAGAGTGCCATATAAGAACTTCAGTTATTCGGACCATGAGGCTGTTACAGCTACGCTCAAATTCACTTGTGGTAATATATTTTTGAATATATGTATATAGAACATACATTATATATTTCTCTACTTTATAAATATTTAGTAAAATGAATCTATAGTATATATACATCTATAGTATCGATGTATAGTATATGTTTATTTGCAGGTGAACATAGCACAAAGCATTTTGATGTAACAGACTCTTTGAAAGAAGCAGTAGGGATCTGTGAAACCGCATTGAGAAGTGTGCAACGCCAACGTTTCTGGTATTTATTATGGGGTTTTATATTGCTTATCCCTTTAATTTGGTCCATCGAGTTCAATTGCATGAACACATCTTTAAGTATAGACATTGGTTTGAATATACTACGTATTCTTTTAACCGCAATGTTATGCTACATATTGTTTATGAGTTCGATATGGAATAGCGTGGAGAAAAATGCTTTGAAAGCGGGATGTTTAGCTATAAAAATCTATTTGACGAAATTGAATCACGATCGAAATTAAATGCCAAATTTGTGCGACAAGGCAGATGTTTCCTAAACGAAAGTTAGAATAACAGTGTTAATATTTAAACTTAATCGGGCTCAGACAATATCTCTGTTATTAAGAAAAAGAAAAAATTATTTGCGTATTTTTCTTTGATATATATCTGATATAGTTTACATGTTTATTTTATATAAACATATATAAAGTTTCATTTGAATTTTAAAGAAATAATCTTCCTGCAATTTTGCATTTATGTATTGCATTTAAATATTCTACATAACATATATGATTTTGTTAAATGAATATAGTTCATAATTACGAAAAATTGAACTTTGTATTAAAAAAGAGAAATGTGGATACTAAAGCCTAAGTTAATCATATTGATGGTATCCAATATCTCCTTCAAGTCGCTCATTTTTAACAAAGATATAACGTTTAACTGGACTTAGAGATAGATATAATAAGACAGTATTACCGATCGACCAATTCACAGGAACTGCGCATATCATTTCGCACCTGTCGATATACATATATTGCGGTAAAGATATTTATATTTACATATATACGCTTAATATATCGGGGAAGTCGAAGTTTCGTCCAGTCTTTCATACTATCGCGTACTGTTTTGTACAAATGACGCTTTGTATTTCGATATCAACATTAATAAAGAATATAACATTAAATAAGCGTTTGCTGTATATCTTCTGATAAACTTACTTAAAACTCCCTATGATATGTATTTGATATTTTTTTAATACTTTGTGTGTTATATATTTTATTATATTATAATACAATTGTATAAACGAACGAGATTATTGCCTTTAAAATCTCCTATGACCATATACATACACCTGGAATGTTTTTTTAGTACAAATGTATCCAAATACATCAGATATAGTATTTCTATATGGTCCTTATGCATATATATATATATCATTTTTCCTACTAAATGATTATATATACAATATCTCAGTATGTAAATATCGGGAGTGTGTTTCTAATATATACGCACACACACACACACATATATATATATGTGTGTGTGTGTGTGTGTGTGTGTGTGTGTGTGTGTTTATATAAATACTGATATATTTATTTACATATATTATATATTACATATTTATATAATATATAATATATATATATTGTAGTATATATTATATAAATTATATATTTATATAATTGACTAAGCAGTGTATAGACAAAAATAAAATTGGTACAAATCGAATTTATAATGCGTCATATAATTGCCTATTTTAATAATATTAAAAACGATGTTCAGAAGAAAGTTTCATGATAACGTAATGATGAAGTCACCATATTCTCCCGTTCTTTGGCTAATTTTTAGGGCAGTTGTTCGACATAATTTTTCGGTACCAATCCCGTTTTGCCATTTAACGTACCTTCCAGCCAACCTGGCTCCCAAGAGTCCTTAACTGTAATAATAATACATATTATAAGGTTCTTTCGTACACATATCAAATTAATATTTGCATGTCGTACAAACCATTTGTAATAATTTGATTTGGTTCAAATGATAATTCGCCGTCGTTTTCCGCCATACACGCGTATAAAGTTCGTACTCTCCTGGAAAGGAATTTGTGTCAGTATGAAATCACAATCACTTAATTTACATCACATGTGAGTGTGGGAAACACTCACCAAATCCCAGGTGTTTGACTGGGACTCGAACGTCCATTACCAGGCGAAGTATTAACACTATAATTAAGATATCAATATAAAAACAAAAATAAAAGTGCAATTGGAAATATATAAAATATAGTTCCTTTTTTTGTCGTTAGTAAAAAATTAAAGTGACTCACGGACATGACGACGAGTTACTGCGCTGAGAGTAAGCGGTGGGATAATGTACGGACATCATGCCGCTGCGCTTCTGCTTCACTGGTAATTCGCCTGTAAATGGATGAGGATCCGACGCGATCGATTCACTCGAACTACTTGTATTGCCACCGCTCAAAACTACAAAAATAACAAAATTCGTTTAAACATATTCTTTTACATGTTTAAAGACGGTACTGCACACATTGTTGCAAAATAAATATGCAGGTGCATAAAGAACTGAACCTTTGTCGGCTGAATGATACATTAGGTTCGCATTAGTCAATTTTATGCGACTGCCACTACCACCGCCACCGCCGCTACGACTATCCACATATAATGGCATACGATGGCTTGTGTTCTCGAGGTCTTCGTAATCTCCGTTGCTTCTTTCGTCGATGATGGGTGTCTTGTTAACCACCGTTAATGGCTGCCCATCATAGTAGGATTTTGTAACAAGCTAAAAACATAGGTGTATATACAATAGGTGTATGTAAAAGCCTTTACATAATATGAAATTAACTGAGTTTATAGAAACGAATGAAACTCACATGCGTTTGGGACGACGTAGGTGTGAGTGATATTGCCGTATGTAGCGGATATCTCAAAAATGCCGTGCCATTACCGGAAGAAGAAGTCGGAATATCCTCTTGAACTTTGACACGTTGCGATTTACTTGGAATAACAACAGTGGTTTGAATCGGCGGCTGTGCCCCCACTGTGCGCAAAGATTCTTGCGGGGATCCAGCTACGATTCTTTCACAATTCTCGATCAATATCTCTACTACAATATTGTGAAATTTAATATCTATTATGGAAGCCACAGTTTCTTCTTCTGGTCGTAGTAGAGTTGGACCGAAACATACTGCCAAGTTTCCCACGGTCATTAGATTTTTATCACTTTTTTTGGCTACACTGAAATTTCGAGTTTTGTGAGTAAGTTTATCGACAAGTTAATATTTTACTATAGTACATTATATATATATTATAGTAGACAAATATGTAATAATGTAAAAAAGCAAGTTGAATAGCGATTAAATGGTTTTAGATAAATAATATTTAGATAGAACTAAACATAGAAGATAGAACTAAAACGACAATAAGTAATAATTAATAATAATAATTTATTTCTTACGTGCAAAGATGTGTGATAAGGAGAATCAGCATATTGAAGTTGGCCTTGGGTAGTCGATAAACAAGGTTGTGTATATCATTTATCCTAGTTTCCTTTGTTTCCTGTTCTGTTTAAATAACACAGTAAAAAATTTAGATTAAACTTTAATTCATTGCTTGATCTTTTTATACGAGGATTATTGATGATAATTAAATAGGAAAAAAAAGAAAAGCGAACATTTTTTCTACAAAACAGGAACAAGAGAAAATCTAATTGTCGAGCATATCGAACTTTCTAATTTTTTCGTGGATGTAAAGATATAAAGTGGATGTAATAGCGCAAATAAAACAATATGTTATGGAGAATACCTATACGCACTCGCAGCTGTAATGAAGCTATTGTAGTATCGGAAAGTCATCAACGGCTCTGATAATGTTCTTAAGTATGTCTTAAGTGCGCTGGTAATAGTTTTGCTTTCCCATTCGAAACGATCGTTTAGATTGATCTTATCTACTTTCCTCTTATCAAGTCCCATCGTTAGAAGTTTGTTCACTTTCGAGGCAACACCGACAACTCTATATAGACCCTGTTCTTCGAGCCCTATAATCGACAAATATTAGATGATTTAAGTTCAACGAATTCATGCAATAATCGCAACGTTACAATTGTCGCTCACCTCTATCTTCGAGTGCCGTTATACATTTGGATACAAATGTAAAACCAATTTCGTCCAATGTTGTATCTTCGGATTTTGCGGAAGAACCCAAAAGTGGGCAAGTCTGAAAAGCAGTAAAAAAGGAAAGTTACAAATATTTCAACGATTATGTGCGATTCTATATTAAAGCTGAAACGGAATAATACTTACAGGTTCTTTTCCATCCATGGCATCCGTCCATAACTTTCTATCTTCTTCCGAGAGCGCTTGGAATGTATACGTTATATTAGGCCTGGAAAAGATTGAAGATTGAAGATGAACAAATGAAGTTTCTATATATGATATGATCGTTATTTTTCGTCAACTTTTCAATTTGGAGAATAAGATATTATATAATAAGAAGAAGATATATATAATAAGAAATATATTAAATAATTGTATACTGGAAGAAAAGGCAATTGTTGACAAGATGTTGCAGACAATTTTAGCTATTCTTTTTGCAGGATACATATACTATGGAAAAAATAATAGAATTAAACTCACTTATCGATAGCTGTAACGTCGAAGCAAAATCTTTTTTCTATAGTGTCCGATGTTCTACGTATACAAGATGCTAACGTGAAGGTTTCCTTGTTACTCTATTAAAAAAAAATAATTAATATCCTTTGTCTTCCTGTTTGTGTGATATATATTAATAATTATTTTTCCACTTTCATATACTTACAAATTTTCCTGTGAGTTGATTGTAAGGAATCATAGTAAACTCTTTCTTGTCCTTTTGATATGTGCAATACTGTTTTGTCCAGGTTGTACCAAAGGCTTCTACAAATAATGTGTCATTTTTTTAACAATACAAAATTATAATATAGCACATAAAAATTTTTATTTTATGTTAATATTATTATAAAACATCTGCGACACATGTGATTAGTTTTTACTATGAACGATATTTATATTATAAAAGAAGAAAAACTTACTTTTTTCCATCAGGAATAAATAGCCTTCACGCGAATGCAGTTTATTGAGACCACTTTCTACAGCAGACTAAGAAAAAAAAGACGATTATAAATAAATATAAAATGCTTTATGTAGTAATTAGCAAGTTGTATCAATTATTTTATACTAGACTTTATGGAAATAACTATTTGTACGTTTAATATACATTTTTCTCTTATAGTATGCAAATAATTCTCTAGTAGTCTATGTAATAAACCATTATTTATTATGAGACAATATATATAATTCTAAGTAACTACATCGTTCGCGATTTCTAAGAACATTTATATCTTGAGAAAATTAAGACGAGAAACGACTAAGTAATTAATTAAGTAAAAAAATATACAAAAATATCTATAAGAGAAACGTACCTTTTTCATGTCCTTCATTTTATTCATAAGTGATTCAGTTTTAGCCCGGGTAGCAAGGAAATTCTCTCTAGTCTTGCGAAACACACACACACACAGATAAAAAATCGTAATTAGTAAGCTCTTATCCATGCTGTTACTGTTTCTATCGTGATATTTACATTACACGATAATTTTTAGTTGAAAATATTATACGTTGTACATAAGGAGTTACAATTTCGTAACTCAAGAAAATTATTACATCTGATGTTTTAAGCTTTTGCAATATAAATAAATGCTTTATCTGGTCTTCAGATTGGTAGATCTTTCGTGAATTTGTTTTTGATGTTTCATGAACATTCCAATTTACTTCTTCAGGAACAGGTATAATCTGAAATTGCTTCAGGTTGCTTTTTTTTCTAAAGTAAATTGGAATATTTATGAAATATCAAGCATAAATCCATGAAAGACATAGCATCAATTCGAAAATTAGATCAAGCAGAGTTATTAAATGTTTAATGATACATACTTTATTATCCAAATATTGCTTTTCGATATAAGATATAATTGTAAGTTAGAGTTATATTATAGTGATTGTGTGCGCACGCAGAAATCCATGTCATTGCTTTTTGAATACACTACAAAACTAACTTCTAATTAATTACCAAATTTGTAAGTTATTAACTTATTTTTCTTATAACGTGCGATATTGGCTAACTAGAAGCCAGAATACGAAGAAATCTCAGCAATATTAGAAATACTGTAGTAGAGCAAACATATATTTACACGTTAGTGATGCTTGACACGATTTTCTTCAAACACACAACAATAACACGTATTAAAAGAATAATTCTCCATAATTATCACATGTATTAACTTTAAATAAGTATACCAGCCAGATAAAACTTCTCAACATTATTCAACATATATACGTGTTTAAGCAGTTAAAAACATCATGAAAAGACTGACCACCAACCTTCTGTATCTTTAACTGTAACTCTGTCATATAAGGTTTAAAATCTTTTGCAACTTCATGGCCTTGATGATAAAATGTCAGCCACCCAAACATAAATCCCAATAACTAGAACATTTTAAGTTGTATCATGTTATAACTTATAATCTGCATATGCATTTATAGAACTTAATTAAACTATTCTTTATTACCGTTTCAACAAATTCAAATTTCTTCCGCTCTTGTACTTCTTGCAATAGAAATACATATTCTAGGCTAGCTCGAGAAAAGTGTCTTTCAGCCATCTCCAATGTTGCATCAGCCTACGTACGCACATGCATATACAATATCAACTATTTAATAATGCATAATTCTAATCTTTCACATAACTCTAATAAAATTGTTTTCAACAGTATAACACTAAGTTTTTTATTTTGAAATATACCTCTTGTAGAACATTGTCTTGTTTTTTAGTAGATAAATTTAAGTAACGTTCCTGACTTTGACAAAATTTGATTGTCTGTTTCTCAAATTTCTTTTTACCATCCTGAAAAAAATTCAAACTACTAAAAATGGAATTTAAAATATTTTGTTAGTTACATTTGGCACAGGACATATATATGGTAAAGTATAGCTAGAAAAATTATATAAGACATAATAAGATAATAAATAAATAATATATATATATGAATAATAATAATAATATATAATATATATAAATAATAATAACCTTGACTCCTCCAATATGTTCTTTCCTAAAATTTTCCAGAGGCAATATAATCTGATCATGTGCTCGTCCCAGCTGTATAAAGATGTCATTAATAAATATAAAATAATATATTAATAATTATAAAAGTAATATAGTATATAGAAGTTGTATCATTCAGTTATATAATCATTTAAAATATTACACACCATACGATCTCTTTCATCTTCTATAGATGCAATAAGTTTGCCAAATTCTTTCAAGCTTTGAGATATATGAGTTTCATCTTCAGTTTGGCTCTCGCCAATACATTCAAAACTAAAGTTTTGTAATGTTTTGGAAAAAGCTCTTTGAGCTCTAGACAAATCTGATAGAACATATTTATATTACTTAGCAATTTGACAAATATAAACATATATGCAACAGGTTTGTATCTTGTTAAGGATGATAAAAATAAAAAAGCAATATTGTAGGACTTACTTTTAGCAGCTAACAATAAATCTTTGACCTCTTTAACGAGACGTTTAATTTGCTGACTGGTCTTTTCCAATTCGCGCTCATGATAATGAAGATTTTCGCGAAAATATGGACTGTCCGTTAAACAATCCGTAAACTCCAATGGTTTAAGGCCAACACCCATTCTCGTTTGTTTATGAAAATTCAAAGGTCATGAATATGATAATGAAGAAAGGCCAGATTCGTTCGTAAAATCGTTGTCACCTTTGATCACTCGCGATAAAGTGCACATTCACTATCATCTCACTGTGGGATTATTTGCACAAATTCGCATACATTTGACATTATTGAGATACAATGAATCCAAATAGCTTAAAACTAAATAGATATACAACTTTAAAATAGCCTGAAACTGATTAGATATACAATCTCTGTGTGTGTGTATATATATATATATATATATATACTAAAACACTGTTTAATACTGTTTTATATACTGCTTTTTATATCTTGCTCAATACTCTTTAATATTATAAACTAATTTCGTACTCCAACACTTTAGCATATTGAAGTTGAGTGGTGATGATTCAATAATAATGAGTCCACATTGAGAGATGCATTTCCACAATTAAGAGATCTCTCCAACGAAGATCATGTGTGTATATTTGCTTGTCACAAAAGTTCCTAGCACACGAGTGTAGAATACGAAAAGAGTAAGCTCTTTACAGGTAACGTTATGTCAAAGAGAAGAATGCGAGAAAGAGAAAGATATTGCGGTACAGTAAACGTCATAAATGCCTTCACTTCCGTTACTTGATGTATTTCAGAATAAAAGTATCGTGCCTAAAGATTTGTATATTATAATCATTAATTGCAAAATGTCTGGAATTAATTTTTTCTTCTTTAATTTATTTTCATTCTATAATTTGTCATTTATCAACTGACACAACATTTAACCTTTCACACTTACGTCATACTATTACAAATATTACACTCTCAGATTCTCTGAGCTCTGAGTCATGATGCGCGCCAACGTCTAGACACGAGATACGTTCGTTCGAAAGAAAACCATAGATAAAAGACTTGTTCGTTCTAACTGCACTCGCTATTGACACTTTTGAGGTAGCATAAAATGATCAAGAAGAGTGGACTTATGTTTTGCGCCTTGCGAGAAGAGAGAACGAAGAATAACCGAATGCAGAGGGTGCAGCTGAGCGAACGTATCCAGAGATTTTTTCGCACTACTCAGCGACTTCCCCATTTCAACAACCAATCCGCGCGTTCGACAACGTCAGCTTGAACTTACACGTCAATTTGGCTATATTGCGACGCGGACAGTTAACCTCGCTCTTCTTGGAGGCATAGCCAGCGATGAGCCAATCGCCACTCGCACCACGACACACCCTTTAAATGCCCGTTTCGCTTATTTTCGTGAAAATCCCAGTAAGGTAGTGGCTATTAAACGCGTCTCTCGTTTATTTTCACATTGTCAACATCGGCTAATAAGGTTTTCATGTTTGTCGGCCTATAACCAATTCACATCGGAGCACTATGGTGAGGCATCTCGAATATCCTACTTTTATCTTTTCTCTCTTGTGCATTATGTATCTTATAAATAAGTCATATTTTATAAGACACACAATTCATATTTTACAGTTAATGTATTTGACAAGTGTCATTTTTTTGTCTATCTATTATAATCTCCTTTCTTTTTACACTCATTATTATGAATGTTAAAAGTATTTTATAAGAAAAATAGGATAGTCATAGATCATACGTTTTATTTTTTTTGCTATATATATATATATATATATATACCTCCTCTATATATTATTTTAGACAGAACAGCAGATGGATTGTGCACTGGATCTGATGCGGAGATTGCCACCGCAACAAATTGAGAAGAACCTCAGTGATTTGATTGACTTGGTTCCTTCCCTGTGCGAGGATTTATTATCTTCAGTAGACCAACCATTAAAAATTGCCAAGGATAAGGAATCCGGCAAGGATTATCTTCTTTGCGACTATAATAGAGATGGAGATTCATACAGGTTTGCTCCAAATAAGCATTTAGAATACTTGACAATAGGAAAGGAAAAGTAATCTATCTTGATATAAACATAACATAATATCTTGTAGGTCTCCCTGGAGCAACACTTATGATCCACCATTAGAAGATGGCTCGATGCCTTCTGAGCGATTGAGAAAACTTGAGATAGATGCCAACCATGCCTTTGATCAATACCGAGAGCTCTATTTTGAAGGTGGAGTCTCCTCGGTATATTTATGGGATTTAGATCATGGTTTTGCAGCGGTCATTCTAATTAAAAAAGCTGGTGATGGTTCCAAGAAGATCAAAGGCTGTTGGGATTCAATACATGTTGTGGAGGTGCAGGAAAAGTCTACTGGTCGTACAGCTCATTATAAACTCACATCGACAGCTATGTTGTGGTTGCAGACTAACAAACACGGTTCTGGCACAATGAATTTAGGTGGTAGTCTAACACGCCAGGTAAGATCTTAGAACCATGTGTGTAATTGTCGTATCTTCTATTCTTCCAAATATCTTCTATATTATTATCTGTTGATTTATTTATATATGTAATTGCAGGTGGAACAAGATGCTCAGATCAGTGAGACGTCCCCACATATTGCTAACATCGGTAGAATGGTTGAAGATATGGAAAATAAGATTCGCAACACGCTGAATGAGATTTACTTTGGCAAGACGAAAGATATCGTGAACGGATTGCGATCAGTGCAGTCATTGGCCGATCAGAGACAGCAGGCTGCACTTAGACAGGATCTCGCGGCTGCATTGCAAAGGCGAAACGCCAATAATTGATCTTGCGATCAGCAACACCAGCAACAAGAGAGCTTCGATTATGATTGCGAATAGACTTCATGGTATTTTTGGATCCTCCTCAACCTTGCTTGGGATCTTTGTATTTTCACAGACATCTTTATATTCTTGAAATCTGTGGAATCTTTGGATTCTCTTGGAGATCCTGGATTTTTTGCGGCGACTTTTTTCGAGAACCCCTTTCCCAGGAAGGCTTCAAGATCTTCTCGGGTTTTTGAGAATCTTAAATGCTGCCATCTGGGTCTTAAGGCCGGATTGCATCCACAGAACTTGCGAATTCTTGGAATTATTGTGGTCGATCTTCACGAATGAAACGTGACACTTATTACTTCCTGCGCTTTGTTGCCCAGAAATATGAATAATACAGACGCGTTGATTAAACCTAAACAGTATGAAATATTCTTTTTTGTTTAATTTCGAATGAAATAGAGTTTATTGTAAATATGTGGGAAAGGTGCAACGCGTTTTAGAATGATAAATTAAATAAAAAAAAAGGTGTAAAGTGCAAAAGTGAGTTGTAATATTGTAGTCTAACGTTTATTACGTGAGGATACCTTAAAGAGCACATCTAGCAATTAATCCTCTTTCAGTTTATATTAAATGTAACAATTATGGAAAACAATTATGATAATCTATAACTTTTCGTAATTTGACGGAAATTACGAATTATTTTGGGAAATATTAATATTCCTCTTATACTGTTTAGGATTAAATTTGAAAGCGCGCAATTAAGCGCCGAAATGTAAAATTGTAAAACGGATAACGCATCGCAATTGTTGTAATGAGAAATTTACACTTCATATAAATGTGAGAACTTTAAAAGTTTCGTGTATACGAAAATTCTCATCATTTATATCAACATCCGTTAAATATATGAAATCGATATAACTTTTGCGGTAAACTATTGAGATTTTGTGAAGTAACGCATTTAATTAAAGAACAACCTGTTTATATTGTTTAGTATTGACTTCAGCCACATAGCTAATTCTGAGAAGCAGTATAAAACGCGACTTTTATTTACGTAAAAAGTCCAAAAGAAGAGCATTGCATTTTGCATTTGTTATAATAATGAATTCATATATAGTGCGCAAATAAAAATTTTAAAATTAAAGTTTATTCGTTCGTGTATTAAACTTTTTCATAAGTACAAAAATCTGTTAGTACCATGGATCTTCACGAAACCACAGATCCTGGGTATCACGGTTCTCTTTATTATCGGAACTTCTCTCACAAGATTATGCATGGCATATAATGCCACGGAGATCTTTGATATTACAAATCCTTGGACTGGTAAGTTGACCCCAATGATCGCCAGTACCATAAATTTTGCGCCTCTGAAGCGAAAGATGTTGAGGATTTCCTTTTCATCCTCATCCATTTTTTAGAGTCTAATTCTCTGTACGCAAGATGACGTTGATACTCTTTTGGTACTATAAATCCTTGGAGCCTTTAAGCGCGTCTGCATAACCATATACACATCGAGAATCTTACATATCCTAGGATCCATGGGCGCTTAGATTACTTCTCGTAATAATAGAGACGCAAAAGTATACGGAGCACAGAATTCATAAGTACATGAACGAAGAAAAGCGATTCTCTTTTATTTTCTCTTTACGTTAGTGCCTTTTGTCATACTTGAATTACTGATCATTACTTATAACTTATCTCTTTCATGAGTCTCTATTAATTACACGGATCAACTTAATGACGTAATGTAACTCAAGTTTTGCAAATCTGAATGATGGCAGTGTGTGGGCAAGTCAGTCTAAGAAAGGGCTGAAAGAAGGACGTCACCGTGAAACGCTTGTGTGTGAATATTCTCTTTCTACTATTTCTATATTTCTTTTATACTGATGTGTGTATGTGTGCCTTTCCTTTCAGTTGTGATTAACAATCGAAAGAATTATGAGCCTGGTCCAACATAGCACACATAGAATACAGACGCTGATTTATTTCTCGTATTAATTAATTAGTCGATATTTCATTTAGATTATAATAGATGAGTTTTCGATTTTAATCGTCATCGCAAAAGATCAAAGTCATCAAGGAAGGCGCGTTATTTCGGGTCCCTTTATGTTTGATAAAGGGATTTAAGAACTCGATTTTATAATAAGATATACATCAGATTTTCGGAAATGGGAGATGTGTAAGGATAATAATTGTCATAGATATATATCGAAATTCACATACACATATATTTGATGATTTGGAGCCTTCGTATTCAACTGTTAATTAAAGGAACTTTAATGACTTTTAATCGCTAGGAACATATCCGAAGCGACAATCCCTGATTTCCGGATTCAGAGATACAAGGATTCTCAAAAGAGCTGGAATCAGAGATTAGGAAATCACATAAAAACAATCTGAATGTTTCACTGTAGAAAAATTAGAACTCAAATGAAAAAAAAACCTACAATGCTCTGTTGTACTAAAAATAAACGAGGTTTTAGCGGAAATGCAGAGTATATGAATATATCGCAAGGACACCAAATCAAATAAATTCAAGGTTTGCGAATTTTTGAGGGAGAAAGAACGTATACCTTCCAATGATAACTGTGATTACACTCTCGTAATTAATTATCTGCTTATAATTATTCCTAATCATTCAGACTGCACTTTCGGAACAATTTTCTTTTTATACAAACGATGACACGAAGGACACAAGACGGAAAGGATGTGAGGGAAAAATTCTGTACGCATTCTTGCAAGTTTACACAAGGATCTTCCACTCGCGGCCCTCCTCTTTTTTTGTAAATTATTATATCTATTCTAACATGTTACATCGTCGAAGTTATTTTGTTGATTGAAGGCGGCTCATGTAACCTGTTCTGAAAAATGTTTATTAAAACGAGATATTACAACAAAATGTAATAAGGTCTGAGCATTCGCAAGCCAATTACAGACTGAACGTAACGCGATCGCGTCGCATTGGCCATCATCAAGCGCGCGAAATGTCATCCTGTATGATATCCTTAAGATCTCGACGTCCTTGGATTTAGAGGTCTAAAACGTTCGGTTTTTGCACCCCGATATCCGCGGATATCGAAAAATTGTACTTGAATCTTTAAATATATATAAGAACCTATGAGCTCTTTTATTGTGTTCTTTAAATATTTATGCTTCGAGTCCAACACACGAACTATTAGATTCTTCAATCCCAAAGCCTTTGCATTGTTCAATTTTTGAATATAGAGAAATATAAAGATCCTTGCGTACTTTAAATCTTAATTTCGCAGTCAACAACTTTTAGATACCAGGATCTCAAAGCCTTTGAGTTGTTTCGATAGATATCGAAGATCTCTCGGACTTGTCGGTCTTCCCCGATTTCACATTTAGATTTTCTAGAATTAGATAAATTAATGCTACATTCTTAAAGATTTCGATATTTTCGAGTTTTTAGGTATCTAAAAGTCACGTTTCTTTTTTTTTAATATTACGAATCATTCTTGTTAAATTTCTTATTGTTCTTTAAATTCAAAATCTTTAGATCTTTAAACCTCACAATCCTTGAACTTAAATATTTGCGCAAATAAAATCATTAGACCTACAAATCTCGAGAACTCGAGATCTCTTTAAAAGAAAAGAAAAAATCTTCTGGTATTCTGTAGAAATTTTGTGTAGTGAAACTCCAGTCTTGTCTAATCTTTATGAATCGATTGTTATATGGGAAAGATGCTTGAAGTGAGCTGCTTCGTGTCGGGCATCGCTAGCATCCCATGAAAAAATTGTTCCGCGCGCGCGTAAAGGACATTTCGCAGTCCTTTTCCCACGACCTCTTCGTATTGGTCTCCAACAATTTTCTCTCATTCTCTTTCTTTCTCTCTATATCTTTCATTCTTTCACGTACTCTCTCATTCATACATATAAGTGTAATAAGTTACAAAGCTGTTGTAAATAATTTCTTTCTCTCTCTCTATTCTTAAAAAAAAAAAAGATCCAGGATGTGTCAAGGCTTTCTCAGTTTTTATTTCTCAATCAACTTTCTATTTGAAAAGTTGTCACCACTTTCTTGTATAACAAACAACGCGTATGTGAATGTGTGTTTGTATGTGTGAGTGTATGTATATGTATGTGTTATGCAACTGTGCGCACAAACGCACACGCACGTCTATTTTTTTTATGTGTCATGTATGGGTAGATAAGAGTAAGTAGGTATATGTAACTGAGTGTGCGTGTTACCTATAGTTTTTGCTATAGTTTTCGCTTTTCCGGATTTATTTTAATTATTGTTGAATAATAATTAAGTAAGCGGATGTTATACTTCGATAAAAGTCGCTTCTCGCATCTGCGCGTTGCTGTTGTTATATGTGGAACTGCTAGCCCGTTTTGCTTTCTCCACTTTCCTCTCTTTCTTTCTCTCACAATCGCTCGTTCGCTCTCTCTCTCTCTCTCTCTCTCTCTCTCTCTCTCTCTCTCTCTCTCTCTCTCTCTCTCTCTCTCTCTTGCTCTCTTACACTCTTCCACTCTCTTCATCATCTTCCTCTATATTTTTTGGTTGTTATTATTGTTGTTTATCCTGGTTGACCAATGGTAAAGGTGTCGATTGATTGACTAAGCGGGTGGTATTTGCTCGAATGTGTGTTGGGCTTTTTGTCGTCGTTAATCGTCGGGCTGAACACAATTATTTGTCGAGGGAGGTGTTGTTTTTGATGGCGATTACTACCTCCTCGCCGCACGCCTTCAGTACAGTGCACTAAAAAAACACAATATGGACTTATTGGCACGCATCCAAATATATATACAAGAGTGCAAAATGAGATTTTTTAGAAGATGAGCAAAGTAATCAATATTGTGTAAAAAATCGTAATGGAAACAAATATTAATTTTTTAGAAGAAAAATTTTAAAAGCAGTTTTAAAGTCAATTTAAGTTGATCAAATATATGATAAAAGTATAGTTTTACTTAAAAATTTTTCAAAACTATACCAATATCACATATGTTATTGAAGCATAAGTTTTCTTATTATAGTTTTAATATTAAAATATTTTTAATAAATTTTGAAGTAACAAGTGTTACACATACACACACACACACACACACACGCACGCACGCACACACACACACACACGCACACACACACACATGCGTATGCACACACATACATACATGTACATACATATATACATTGTATAATTCTGTACATTTTAATATTTGCAATGGAATTTTCAACTTAAATGTACAATGTTATACATGCAATAATACTAAATGCAACAATACTAATAAATATCTTGTATATGCACACACATACACACACACACACGCGCACACACATGCACACACATACTGCTACCGAAGTAAATAAAAATTTACTTACAAGTAACTCTTTTCCAGCCTCATAATCAGCACGCAATTGTGTTCCCAATTCACCATCAGGTATTTTGAGATCCTCACGTAGTTCTCCATTATCAGCCATCAGGCAGAGATAGCCGTCGTCAGATATATCTGTCAACTGAACACAAAACAATTGCAATATTTCAATATTATAAGGATATATGATCAAATATCCAATTAAATAAAACTATTTGATCTAAATTTCAACTCTTTTATAAAATATTATCTTTTACATTAAGTATGTATGTGTTTGAAACATATATGATATGAAAAAAAGGTTACTTAAATAAATTTATAACTGAACAAAGGATAAAAATAATCAAGAGGCAAAATTTTAGACTGGATAGATTATATATATAAATTGAACATCAGCAATTAAATTATTTGTAGCAATAGAAATATCTCCTGCAAGAAATCTATACCAAAAGTTACTTTACCTGATAGTCTTCCCGCTTGACAAACGGCACATCCATATTGTGTGTAGAAGGACAGATATCTTCGTATTTCTTTGAAGTAAATATATCAATACCCACTAAATGGACCTTGGCATGACCGTGTTTGCCAGTCTTAGAAGTAGACATTTCTACTATCTTGCAAGGACGAGATTTTAACATAACAAACCCATTTTTACGCAATGCTGAACATTGCATGGGATAGGTCACGGAGGCACCAGAGTCTCCAGTCTCAAAGTGAGTATCCTCAATGTCTGCCATTGTTGTGAGTTAAGATTGTCTGCGCAAAGTAAAGACACGAATTTGCAATAGTTTTAAATGTTACAAGTTATAACTTCTTCAAGATAACTACAATCCAGAGTTATAGCAATATCTAAAGTGACTTGCACTAATGCTAATGGCACAGTGACAATGATTTTGTTAGAACTTATTTTCATTTTTGTTAGTACTTTGCTATATTCAAGATAATGTGTAAAATTACTATGAATAAAATGAATTTTAAATTATATTAGTCGATAGCTTTCTAGCCAATAAAAGAACATTGGCGTTCATATTAGCTACAAAAAAATCACGTCGACCGGCCTAGACATTCTCGTTTTTACAAGATATTTGCATATCGTGCACATTTGTGAATATTGTAACATTTTCGTTATCGTCGGTAGCACACGATACACGAATCATTTAAGAGCTACGGAGATATCGCAACGTGGTTGCCGGCACCCGGACGAATAGGATGACCACGTGGCGCGTCATCGTAGGGAGTTCGAGCGAGAGATGTCGGAACGGACCGAAACGCGACTAACCAAAGATGCCTAGCGTACGACGAGGACGGAAAAACCGCGAGAACGTGAAACCACATTAATGCCTGTGATGAATACGTTCACAATGGGCATCGCAACGCTCTCGGCTTGCCGTCGTCGTCATCTAAGGCGTATTTCCACGCGGTCGGGAAAACGCATACGGACAGGTGAACGCGAGCGAGCCACATTGCCAGCGCGGACCGCTGGTGATCTTTAGCCGTGTTACGGATCGTTCTGGCGCGTGCTGGCGTGTCGTAGCTACGTGGATACGAACCGGCTCGACATTCACCCACGTATTTTCAATGTTCCGCCGTTCGTACGGGCAATTAGCACCATTAGTCGACGTCGAAAGCAAGAAGCTCAAGATACTCACATGTGATCAAAATGGATACTCTAACCAGAAGATCTTGCTGCGCCTGCGCGCCACGGGATCGTAATAGGGGTCTACAACATTGACGGCACGGACGCTCCCTCTTTTCGTCGTGATTGCGGCGTCGCGCTGTTGTGAGCGCCACGTCACGGCACTATGCTGTGGTGTTACGTTTGGCGCAATTATACAAATTTATGAAGACCTTTCGCAATTCGGCTCAAGAACGCTTAGACAAGCAACATAGATTGTGCATTAATACCGTTTCATGTTGTTTTTAATAGCTAATAATAAAATTACTAAAGTATACGCGCATCTAAAAGATATATAGGGTGTCCGAGATCTTTTGGAAACGAAAAATTGTGAAAATTAATCAGATCAATTTGAAAAGAAAGTCATATATCATTTTGCAAAAATTGCAATAGTTATTAAGTTATTAATGATTGAAAATGACTACATCTAGAGGCTCTTTTAATTGATAACTTGAAAATTTGTATACTTATTTGCAAAATGGTAAAGGACTTTTTTGTTCAGAATGACCTAATTTACAATTATATGACAGCTATTGTGCCTAGCGATAGATATAAGTATATTGAACTTTGAACCCTGAATCTATCGCTAGATACAAAATCATATAATTGTAGACTAGGTCATCTTGAACAAAAAAAGTTCTTTACCATTTTGCAAATAAGTATGCAAATTTTCAAATTATCACTTAAAAGAACTTTCAGATGTAGTCATTTTCAATCATTAATAACTTAATAATAACTTAATAATAATATTATGATTTTTGCAAAATGATATATGAATTTTATTCTCAGTTTGATTTGATTGTCACAATTTTTTGTTTCCAAAAGATCCCAAACATATATATTATGTATACATGTATATTGTACGCCAATGCGTACAAAACTATATGTGTATATATAATTTGGTAAGCTAATCCCAAATTTTGAATAAATCTTGCTTGCATTCACTTTAAAAGTACTATTAAATAGATAATTTCAAAGTGATACCCAAATATTTGGTTGTATCTTTTAAACTACAAAACTGATACATATTATAAAAACAAAAATTATATTCTTCTATATATATAGTTATAGAATTTGTATATAACAGAAGTTATAAAATAGATGTAGAAAACACCTAAATTCTTTATTCCATAAATGCAAAAATATATAACAGAACTTATTTACATAGGTAGCAACTAGAACTTATTTATATACGTAGCAACTTATGTAAGTAATTCTACGACTGTTCAGGTTGCTTCTCATCATTTTTTTTGAGCCTCTTCTGTTTTGGTTCCCATAGGCCACTCCTAACAAATCTCTTAGCAGCTTCTTTGTTTATATGTGGCATAAGTGTATTTCTATCTTCAATTTGTTTTGCTCGTAGCATCGCTTTCTTCAGTCGCTCGTTTTGTAATTTAATTGGATGCTTTGATGGATCAATTCCTAGAATAAATGAAAGTCATTTAACAATGAATGCAAATGATTTGAAACTTCTTTAGAAGATTTAAAAATTTTAATTCTTATATATTTACCTTCAGCACGTAGATACATCCAGAATAAACTGTTAAGGCTGAAGGATAGCAACAAATTATATTTAATTTTATCTGGTCTCGAAAGCTTGTCATATAATGCTGGATTATTAACTAATTCCACCATATCCTGTATTTTAAAAGCAGCATCACTGAATTGTTGCAATTTATTAATTAAGTTTGTGTCATTTGAAAGTTCTTCCAAATCAACACTCATGTTGTCGCTTTTACAAATGTATCTCTGTAAAACGATATCTTCCTGTGGATAATATACATTAATGGAAATTCTCTCTAAGTATTATACATTTTCTTATCTTAGATTTATTTCATAACGTAACCTCAAATCTCAGAAGATGTTAAAATCAATGTTTCTGCTTCGATAAATGCTTATATATTATACTGTATTTTAAGAGAATTATTTACATAACAGAATTAAAGTTTGTCAAAATTGTGTTAGATATTACTCATCTATATATATATTCTTGTTACATTTAGCATCTGCTTTTACGAAACATACTTACTCCCTCTCTTTCTGGAATATCTATGGCGACATAACCTAATACTAACCTAATCTAACCTTGTCAGGGAGGAAAGGAATCAAAAAGAAACTATTGATATATCTCTATATATATATATATATATAGAGGGGATTAATTATATTTTACTAAAAAATATATACAATTCTATATATAAAATATTTATATTATACATTGTACATTATAGCGACCACTAAATAACTTAATTCCATTGTTATCACATCAAATTGTGTATATATTTCTTACACTTTTCTCGTATACACATCGAAATAAAATTAGATTAATTGTCACTATATGTAACAAACAGATTTTATTTGGCTAATCCATAATAAAAATAAAATAAAATAAAGCAACGAGATAAGTCGTTAAGAAAGGCAATATTGATTCACATATGATTGGCTACTTAAAATACTTCACGCAAAATTTCTTTGCGAAAATAAGGCGAAAAAAGAGAATACGTTGATACAGTAGAGAATAGAATTGGCACGGTATACGAATTAGAAATTATTTCCTGGCAGTGGATAAAGTTGAACAAAAATCGCATTGCCGGATGTTACACATCACAGAACTGCAATGCGATAACTATTCTACAACTATGTAGGCACATGCATTTATATAACAACGTTGCTGCACAAATAAGGTTGAGACCGAAATGAGTGCGCTCTTTCCTTCCGATCGTGTTGTTCCATTATTCTTCGACGTTTAAATTTAGCATTCGCCGTTCTCTCGTTTACATGAACGTTTCTGTGGGTAAATTCAACGGCGTCGATTCGTATCATTATGACATTGTAAAATATGTGAATTTTTTAGACTTTATAAAAATACAAGGGAAATATTAATTTCACTCGCTGTCAACTAACACGATACACAGCAATGAGGGGATGTGTGTGTGTGTGTGTGTGTGTTGAATTCTCAATACTTGATTTTGTCTTACATAAAAAGGCAGTTCCATCAAATTTAGATATTATATTAGCTACCATCGAACGAAAAGAAATTTATCCGATTAAAAATTACTCAACAATGTGATAAAGATGTTAAATAACTTAAATTACATTGAGTAACTTTCATGCGCTTGAGAGGTCGGTATGAGGCAAAGGATACGTACGATACGATGTTCATATCGTTTGCCGTGCCACATCGTAGAACATAATAATATGATAACGTGTAAGGCACTCGTCGAACAGCGAGGAGCTGTGTGTATATATATAATGTTGACGTGTACGTTCGCGCGCGTATCGTTCGCTTAAACTTGCGTCTCGCTGCCGGAATGATGCTTCCTATGTTTTCGATGCTTCTTGTAATTTCTATGCGGTATTTGCGGATTCGTGATCGCGTGCTGATGCAGCAGAGGATGCTGCTGCGGCGGCGTCAGATGAGTCAGATGATGAATCTGATGCGACACGGGAGTGGCGGCGGTTCCGGCGTTGTAACAATGCACGACCGGCACTGGATGGCACTTGCGCGGCGGTTGCTTGCAGTGCGATATCCTGCGACACAAGCTCGTCGCCTCGGGCCACCAAATCCACGCGGCGGTCATGACGCCAGCGCCGAGGGTTACCACTAATCGCAGTACGAAAACCTGCAGCAGAGGCCGGGAGGGTATACGCGGCGCCGTTGATGGTTCTGGCGCTCGCAGCCACGTCTCCCTTCCCCACCATTCGTAAAAACTCGTACTGGCCAGACAGATCATCAGGGCGGCGTAGAGCCAGCCGAATATACCGACACGCGTCAATAGTTGCTTTTGACGTCGGTGAATCTCTGCTGGGGACGATTTACCGGACATCTCGCGCTGATGCGTACGCATCAGCGGATTCGCGTGAGACGCTGCTAATGCGGTCAGAGCCGCCGCTGCCGACGAAGAGGAGGATGACGACGACGTCGATGTCGTGGTAGGCGTCACTGCCGGACGTCGCGGTAACAGCAACGACGCCAGACCGACCAACAGAAATGTCGTGCCAAACGACAAGTAGACGAATTGAGGCGCCAACACCAACACGAGCAGGGAATGTGTATTCTGCTGGCCGACGAAGCAACTAGCTGTAATAGAAAAAAAAGAAAACATACGTTAGCACGAAATAAGTTTTGAGATACGTATTTATGTGTCCATGAATATGTAAGCATGTAGCATTAATGAGAAGAATAAACAGAGATGCGATATTGCGTGGGAGAATATTATTCGGGATTCCGTCGTCTGCTTGATAAAATCGTACAAAGTACAGGATGCAGAATTCTTGTAACATTAAACGAATCCGACTAAAAAGCCCTTGTGCGAAGGTCCGAGCCTTAAAGCTCCGGCTGGTTGTGGTCCTATCGGCGGACAGTGACAAGTTGCGGGGCAAGTTTGAAGGTATTTGCATTGAATGTCGCCTTTCCCGCTAGAGAGACAGAGAAAGGATCTCGACTAACCGGGTTTGTTCCCTTACTACACGCTCGCGAGCGGATGGCTTCGTAACTTCTCGAAATGCCGCCAGCAAATTGACTCGATTGCATGTACGAGAATATGCAAATTCTGCATCGGCGAGTACCGCGCGCGATGCGACCCTTGGACGTTTACGGATATTGCGCGTCCACTTCGTGTTATCGCCGCAAGAACGCTTAAACGTCCGAATAACTGTATCTCGTGAAAATAATTTACGGTATCATTTACAATATGAATATCCGGATAACAACGCGCGCTACACATATATCGGAGGAGCACGTGCGTGAGAGAATTTCGCGTTTTTGCTTCTCCGCTACGTTGTGAGAATTTTCAGCCGACGAGTGAGAGAAAGAATGCGGTAGATCCAATGTGCTGTCGGTGGAAGGCATCGCTGACATTCCCTTCGCGATCCACGAATCAAGCTAATCGACCCAATTTTATTTTCTTCTTTCGTTGCCTGCTGCTGAGAGACACCGCGGCGCTGACGCAGTGCATCGTGCACGTGCGTGCGTGTATAAACGTGCGATAACTCAGAGTGGAGCTGATGCAGGAAGCAATTGCGCAATGTAATTCTAATAACCAATAATGAGATAATAATTTGACAAGCTAGAAATAATATTCCCGAAAAAACGATAATTAACATTACATTGTACCGTACTGTATTTACTTACGTCTCCCACTCGGGAGTAAGTATAGTGGTTGTAAGAGTAACCGAAGGTTACTCTTACCGCCGTTTGCCGCCGTTGCCAGTTGTTTAATTCAAAGATGCTAATCTCGGCTGGTTGCCTTCGAGCATAATTTATCGGGAACATAAACACGGAGAGAGCGGCGGGTATTAGCATAAAGTAGCCTCAGCAGGACCGCTCGAATTAAGATAGATGGAGAGAAGGAGGCAGGAGAACACAGAAAGACGTAGATATATAGATAGACAAACAGATCGATGTGGGTGAATGGAGATAAAAAAGAAAACAATTATCAGAAGAAGAGATCCGTTGCGAATCAACCAAGTTCCGCGGATCCAACTACGCCAATGGAGCAACCTCATAAAACAAACGGTATAACGAGGCGTAGTCGTAAAGCCCTCCGGGCACTCTTTTTAGAGGCTGACCAACGCGAGTTCTAAGATCGCGCGCGCGCGCTATTGGCTCGGGCAAATGTTGGGTCTCAAGCGAGCTCAAAAATCTAAGAATTCATCAGCCGAAGAATTAATATCCGTGAGCGAGGTTGGAGGGCATCAGAAATGTAGACGCAGCGTAGAGAAAAAGAAAGAAAGAAAGAAAGAAGACCGCAGCTGACTTATGATTTGATAGGATCCTCTTTCCGTCTCTCCGGAGTCAAAGGATCTGGACAGGATAACCTACCGGTCAACTCGTCAGCGTCGACGTCCCTCGTGACCAATACGGCGATAGTATGAGCGGCTGGCAGACCCCAAGCCGCAACCGCAGCTATGGTTGAGAATCCCTGTTGCGGTCCGAAACCATCCTCCTTGCAGTTGCTGGCCGTCCTCGTCCATTTTCTGGCCATTATGCACCACCACGCGCATATCACGACCCACCTGCGATCGCAAATCGTATCGAATAACATGGAGAAACTCTTAAGTTATTCGCAGCAGCGATTCGGTCGATTACTCTATACATCCTGGCAGCGAAAATATAAGTAGTGTTGAAGTGAACTTCAAGGAGGATGTAATAATTGAAATGTAGGAAAAGATGAAAAAGTTCAATACGCCGTCGTGGCATCCGTCCGAATTCTTCTCCTTAATCATAATCTCAACAATAGACTCTTTAAATCGGTTATACGGCCCTGCGAGAGCTCACAGCTCGAATAAAAGAAGAAAGGAAGGGCGTAGAGAGGAGCGAAGGTGACTACACGTGGTAAGAACGTGCATGAGAGTGAGACGGAATGACACGACGAGGCGGTCGAGAGTGTTTGCGCCTCGTTTGACCTGTTCGCTGCTTTTCGATCTTGTCGAAGACTCGCGTGATTAATTAGTCGGCTTTTCACTGCAACTCGCTTTCTCGACAGACTGGTTGCCCACTGGGGGGACGGATTATAGTCGGCAGGGAGCTATTGCGGTGTGCAGTTGCACGTGCGTGTGCAACGACGCATGCTGGTGCGAAGACGCGTTCTGTCTCTCACGCGGCCAACACACAAATGCATACGCACAGCAGCGTACGCACACGTGCACGCACGTTCTTGGACCATTGTTCGTTCAAGTTTCGAGATGAAACGGTTCTCAGCGTATCGACCAATTTCGATTCGTCGTCCCTCCCTTTCTCTCTTTCTCTCTCTTTGAAGTGATTTTTATTATAAATTCGTATTTACGCGTCCATTTTATGGAATCAAATAAGATAAACAGTACCTAGAAATCGATATAAACAAACAATTAATATGACAGTATATTTTTTGTATATAGTTGGAGATATAAAAAGATAAAGACACATACAGAGTGCTATGTGCAAATTTAAATTTATATTATTTCTGATGGTTCTATGATAATTTCGATAGTAGATAGTAATTTCTGATGATTGATATTATTCTAATACAGTGATATATAAATTGAATATAATGCAAAATTGACTTTACTTCGGACTTCACTGTGGACTTCTGAAAACCAGTCTCACACACGAGGTAGCCAACCTCTTCGAATGTTTGCCGCCGCTGGTATTTACTGAGTGGACGACGGTAGCCATGTCTCTCGGCGCGAATCTACACGGTCTACGGATCTACCGACATGTAGTTCTCACACGTTCGCCGTGACGCATCTGAGAACGTAATGAAAAAAGCGAGGATTACTTGCTTTTTTTTATAAACATATTTTTAAGTACCATGTTGGGAGATACCGTTGTATATTTCCTCTCTCTCTCTCTCTTCTTTTCTTGTAAAAACCAAATGGACAATACTTCAGGAGCCTTGAGCTTCATGTCTTTATTAAGGGATTCCTTATTGAAAGGAACAACAAAGAAGCTTGAAATTATGGGACGTAGAGGAGGAAACGGGGGGGGGGGATTAACGCAATCGAGAGAGATTCAGCCGGTTCGCTAATTCCACTTCTACTTCTCGCGTTGTCCCTTTGGAAAAGCAAAAACTTGCTCGACGAATTCTGGTCCTGCGGTGTGATGAATGGAGTGACGCGGTGCACGCGTGACGCACGATGCGCGATTGACTTTTTGCGCCGGTGGAACGCCGATAAGAAAAAAGAAGGGAGAAGAGAAAAACTCTTAAAGGGACATGTTAACACTTCATGGGATGCTGCTGATCGCTTCGTAAGTCAAGAACACCGGATTGAAGGAAAGTCAAGAGTTTTGACAAGAATTATGATTGGGAGGAGAAGAAGAAAGAGGGAAGATGCATATATGTATAAAGAAGAGAAGAGGTAAAATTGTTCGACGTTTTCTCACTTAGCAAAATCGATCGCGGCACGGACACGGCACGGTTTAAATGCGACTGCGAGAAGCTTAATCTCACTGAAGTATGCGTAATAAGGCCGATTAGTCTCTCGTGATGACACGAGATTTCTCTCCCTCTTCCCATAACCGCTGGTACAGTTGGGTGGTCGGTGATCGGAGCACTTGCAGTTTCCGTGCAACTCGGACGATGCGGAGGGAGCAGAGAGGGAGAGAGGGAGACACTACCTAACGACTCGCTAACTAACAAAACAAACAAGAGGTAGCTAGTGCCTCTCTCATCTCATCTCGCTGATTATATACCCCGCGGCCCCCTATACACGACGTTGCCTCCTCCTCGCATTTCTCCTCCCGTTCAGACTACACTTCGGCTCGTCCCTGTCTCTCTTTCTCCGTCCTTGTCTCTTTCGTGACGAATTCGGAAAAGCTGACAAGCCACAGCGGATGCGACCATTCTCGCTTCTGGTAGAAGCTAAAATTATGCACGCAAGCCTATTCCTGCCGAATAATCCTCGCCCCAATCGGCAGGACCGACTCATGTAAGCGAGTGCAAAAAATTTTAGGTTTCTCTGGCTGGTATATTGGCGATACCGAACTTCACCGTTCTCTAGCTTGCGTGGACGCACGACGCAAACAAGTCTGACTAGTTGTTAAGATTACGAGGCCCTTCAACCACGTACCGTGTGCTTCTCAAAACGTATCTGCGAAGAAAGGAGATCACACATGAGTCCTTCGATTCATACGGAGATCTCGTGATTGATCTTATTGCACAATATATAGGCACAACGATGTACGATGTACGTGAGTGACGAGACGAACGATCTTCCGTTTTCTTCGGAAGAGCAGACGGAGGGCAGGATGCTTCGGATAATGCCGACGGCTTGTTATCGGGGCCCCGACGGCCTTGACAGGACCCCGGTTCCCTGTTCTGCACTGGCGCGCAATCGACGGTGGAGCTCTTATCTCGGATAAATTATCGAGAAATTCTCGGATCCGGGTCCTTAAGCTTAAGGCCCTGGCTGGGCACCGCGAGAGAAATGATGGATCAGCTCTTTCCTCGAGCCCCTTTTTTCAACTTATCCTTTTTCCCTCGTTCCTGAGACGGCCGTCAAACTCTTCGGAAGAAGAAGGGCAGGAGGTAGGAGCGAAGGAAGGAGAGAAAAAGAGAGAAACGGAAACGCGAAACTGCCGGACTACCTACCACTATGGGGCCCTGTGTACGATCCTCTCTGTCAATGGCGTAGCATCGCCGATTATCGATTCGTGTTTCTCTAGACATGGGAGAATTTAACGAAGGGCCTATCAGTCGTGCTCCACATTTCAAAATTCGGCGCGTTAAACCTCGTCGAATCTGTGGATTTTTTAAATCTATTGATACACCAATTGCTCTTATTCTCCAAATTCTTGCACAAATGTATACACGAGATATAAGAGTATATCTATAGTCAAAAGAAGGTAGGATACATACGGATGAGAAGAGTTCGCCAGTGTTAATTTGCACAGATAATGAGACCAAAGCAGGGTTCACGAAAAAGAGTCCAAGAGCGCGATTTCTTTTATCTGAGCAGAGATCGCGAGTTTACAGTCGGATCTTTTCGTGTAAACTTGCCATACGTTAGAAGGGGATCCAGAGAGGGAGGAGAGTGGTAAAAAGCGAGACAGGACAATGCACGACGAGGGCTGTAAGGGCCCTATGGGTCCATGGTGCATGACTTCGTGTCCGCAGGGCGCGATGTTTATCGGCTCTTTCGATGTAAATTATGGCCATACGCTACACACAGTTCGCTACACCGCGACGCGCAAAAGTACCTGGGACCTGAAGTTCCAGGGCCGGATCCTCGCAATTGGCCTTAAACTGAGGATAGCGTATCGAATTCCCGTCCTTCTACATATAAAAGACGCGAATTGGGAGATGTATAACAGATTTCTCGAAGCGGGCATAAACACGAAATTATGCGGGCTTGAGATTGAGAGAGACGATCAAGAAGGTGAAGAAAAATGCGAAATCAAATTTCAAGCTTACCGAATTCTTATACAGTTGGACTTATATTTAAATTATTTGCAGATCTGAGGATCTACGGCGCGGAGATCACTGAATTGGCAAAGTTTGAAAAATTTGCAAAATTTATTTGCAAAATTGCAATTGCAAATTGCGCCCATGCATTGTGAATCATCTTGTTCTTTACTTGGTCCGAAGCGCCGTGTTCATCTCCCTTCTCCTTGCCTCTCTCTCTCGTTCTGCTTTTCTCGCCCTTTCTCCCTCCTTCACGAAGCAGTTTGCTTTCTCTAAGATGGAATGCCATTGACTCCATGCATATCTGGCAACAAGGTTCCTCTCGACCCACCTCATATACTGGGTGACCTTCGTTTAATCAGGGATCAAAAGGTCTGTGGATGTAAAGATCTGAAGGTTGAAAAAGAGTTTAAGATTTAAAATTTGCGAAGGTCAGAGTTTGAAAATATCAAAGATGTCAAAGAAACTAGATAGCGAGAGACTTTAAACTTCTCAAAATAAGTTTGCAAAAAGCAATGGTTCGATGGAGACATAAAAATCAAAAAAAAAAAGAAAACAATCCTCAATAAGTCTTCCTTCCTGCAACATGAACACTTGAAATTGTAATATTCTTCTAGATTCCTGTAATTTGCGATCTAGAGATACGTGTTGCTATCGCATCAAGAAGACAGTTTCCCATAAAATACATTCCAAGATTACTTTGTCGGCGTAAATCCGACACGCCATAAGGCAATTTTACATCATACGGTAGTAGTATCATCGAACGCGCAAACGGGCAATTTTTTGCTTATGCCACCCGTTAGACGCGTTAAGATGAGCTTCTCAGCATAAACGGGATGGGATGGGATGGGACGAGATGGGAGTCAGAGGCTCGTTAGCGGCACGAGGGGAGTCAACACTGTTGCCAGATTGTTATCCCTACCTCCGACGATGCAGTCTCGCTACAGCGAGGCGAGCGCAACCAGGCGCTCTGCAACAACCGACAACTTCGAACATCATGCGAGTATCCTTCGGTTCTCGCGTCTCATATGTAATTAAAGTCAAACAATAAAGTAACATGAAAAACTCTTGAAATTTCTCACGGCCATTCGAGATTAACAGCGAGCAAAGAATCTCTTGTATTTTTTATACATGTGCAATAAGCTGAAAGACTTTAGAGTAGTAAAGTATCCGAACGATACTTTACAATTCATGATTGCTCATGTCAAATGAACGAGATAAATAAAAACTTACCAGACAATCGCAGCATTTCCGAAGTAATAGAGCAACAGAAACACGACAGCACAGTAAGGATTAGCCAGACCATCTTGCGTAAGATATTGTTGTTGCTGTTGTTGGGCCAAGGCTACTTGATCTTGTGAATGTAGCGAAATTGCGGATGTGCAGGCGACATTCAAACGGCCAGCCGCTAATCGAATCACATAACCGATGGCGACCGCCGCATGGCAAATTGTCAAGAAGATTATTGCACGTTCTGCGAACAAACGATTATCTTTATTATTTAACATAAAATTCTCGAAAACTTGGATTTGATATATTTAGAAAATCACTAGACGACACTCAAAGAATCGAAAGAATAATAATACTCGAAAGTAATCTAGAAAATATTAGAACTCAAAAACTCGTGACCCAAGTAGAGAGTATTTTTTTTTTATGTTGTTTGTGAGGATGTTTCTACCTTGCAAAGAGATTCTCACCTGCGGTAGTGGTTAATACCGGTTGTTTGCGCGGCTTCAAAACAGTCAGGATAGCAACCGCGACGGAGGCGAGGCATGCTGTGGTGAATACAGTCATCCAGGCCTCTGTGTGTTTCTTGTCCTTTTTGGACCATAGGATATCAGCGTCGCAAGCGGCAGCGCATCTTCCAGAACGATTTAGGAAAATGTACAACCCAGACTTGGCATACCATGAACAACCCCAAGGTCCATTGCTTGCGCCTATTGCCTGAAAACAGCGGATTCGGATTTGAGGAAAAGAATGTGATATTTCAGTGAAGCCTTAAAATTCCTTCATGGACTTAACATCAGAAGTGACTTGTATATCTATCTTGAGTTATTTTGATTCTGTTTAGCTTTATCGTTCGGTAGCTGAGTTAAGATTTATTGCTCAACAAAAATTCAACATTTAATAAATTTTGTAATAATTCAAAACAAAATAACTACATTTTATTTAGTCAATACAAAATAACAAAACAAAATAACTACATTTTATTTAGTCAATAAATCAATTGCATAGACTATATATATTTATAAAGATCATTTAATTTAATTTAATTATTACAAACTATGTACCTGAATAGGACTAACTGGTCCAGGTTCACCAGGTCCTTCCATGCACATATGATGATGATTGTTTTCTGGTGGAAACTTGGAACAGTTTAATGCAGCTGGCCAGGGAAAACCAAATCCTTGAAGAACTGGAAAGCATCGGACTCTCACTTGCTCGCATAGGCCTCTGCAAGGTCCGATGGGTGAAGTAACCTTGTCGGTACACATTGGTGCATATACCGAGCACAGGAATAGATGTAATTGTGCACTACAATAAGTTAGAAATATTGGTAACAATAAGCGTTAAAAGCAGTGTAATTTTGTTTTGAATAATCATAATGGAAATATAAATCAGTAAAGAAGTATGATATATCAAATTTGTTTCTCACCAAATATTTTATTGATGAAAATATTTAATGAAATAGTATATTTTGTGCCTTACAAATCATATTACATGCTTAAAAAATAATCTATAGTCATTTAAAATATTTATTACTTAAATTTGTTGTAAAAATTAATAAATTGTCTTAGATCATGAAAGAATCTTAAATATAAAATTTTAACTTTGCTCATGGAGTTTTCATTTTTAGAGATTTTAGAAAAGTGGGCAAACAGTTAACCTCAAAATGTCATAGCATGTAACTGAAATATACAATAATCTAATTTCACCATAATTGATCAATATTACCATTTAATCCAGTGAGAATATGAATAATTAGGAAACAAAACACATGATCATTATAACAGAAAGTTATAAAACAACGTGCTTTTACTCTCATCTTTAAGAGCAATAAAATGTAGCCGAACACCTCGAATTGAGTAAATACAAACTGAAGTTGGCGCCACACATCATTAAAAGCCCGTCATAATAAAAACATAAACCAAACAATTCTGACGTTGCGTACACGTAAGAACTTTGTATTGTTAAATCTATTTGTGATAAGGTAGAAATATTATAATTACTATTTACAATAATATGAGAAAAGAATGATTTACCTGCATCCGTATTGAATGAGTGGACTGAACGTCTGCAAAGTAAAATCAGCATCGCCTTGGATCTCGTGGCCAACTAGATTTGGCATAGCGGTGACGTTGTAGCCGAGACCGCGGCACATTTCGATCCTGATTGGTTCGCAAGCACCGTGAGCGCACCATATCGTACGCACCAACATCAATAACAAAATCCAATACATATTTTCCGCATAAAAGACTTTTACAAAATCGTTTTTATCGCTCTATTTTCATAATTTGTACTGTGTATTCCTACAGGTCGATCGATGAATCGACATATCATCGAGATATCGATCACGCATTATGCGGGACTTCAATTCAAAACTCTGAAAAAAATAACAAAGTATAGAAAAAGATACAAATATATATATATAAGATATAAATCTAAAATTATGATTTTATATTTTACTAAATTCATTTAAGTGATTTAAATTTAATTGTAAATCCAGCAGAGGGAGAACATGTATGTGCGAAAATACAGCGATGTATCAAAGAAAACTCAGAGTTAATTGAAAAATTCAAAATTCGATTGAGAATTGTGTAAAGACATGCCTCTTAAATTAATGAAGATCTAACTCTGCCTTTCATTAAACCGGAACTTCTTCCTTCTCTTAATTACGGTCCCGTCGCGGCTTCATTTAACGAGCCGTCAAATCCGATCTCGACTCAAGAAGTACTTTAATTAACTCGTTTGTGCATTAAACGAGATTAATTTAATTGGCTTCTTCGTGTCCGGTGCAGCCGCGACCGCTTGGTTTTAACTTAATCGAGATACAACGATCGAAAGACAGATTGACGCAATAACTTAATTCCACTCTCTTGTTTACACAATACAAATTGCACATAATACGTCGACTTCTCTGAAGCTACCAACTCGGTTAGGTAAATAATTCTATTGAACGATAAACTTTGTTTCAATAAATCCAAATTTCGTTGTCTTTGCACAGAAGGATTTGTCCTTTTGTTCTTCTTCTTCTCTTATCTAGAGATCAGAGAGATTCTCTTGAGAACACGAACTTTTCTCCGTCCTTTTTCTGTTTTTATCCAACGTTCAATTTCAATTTCTCATCCAGAGAGAATCTCAGAAAAAGAATCAAACGTTATTTCTCTCGCAAGTTCACGCGTATACAAGAGGTGCAGTTTGCGGAGAATTTGCGCGAACGCACGCACGCGCAGGCACGCACGTACGCACGTACGCAATGCATGCACGCACCGGTGATTGAAATAACGAAATTAACCGCGATATATACAGACAAGCACGTGACACGCGCGCTCACGTTCGAAATAAGCGCGGGAGCACAAGGTCCGGATCTCCACCGTGCGGAGAGCAACAGATCCGATCACAAAGACGACCGCATAATCACTCGCGGTTTTACACGGATATGTCGCATGCCCGCCACTGCATTGTCCAATCGCGGTAAACTGTCATGTGTACCATGACGATCGCACCGTACAAGATCATCGCGAACGAAAATTAATGGGTCTGGTCAAACTGAACGCGCGAGCTCCGCCGCCGACTGAAGTTTCCGTGCGACTAAACTCTGAACGCCTGATCGCGCCCCAGCACGATGTCTGTTTATCCCCCCTCTTCTTGTTCGCTTCTTCGTGGAGAGGCATTCTGGCCTCTCCCTTCCCTTCAGGATTTTAGTCTCGTGCTCGTTCGCGCGCGCGCGCGCGTGTATACGCATGTATGTGTGTGCCCCTCGTGTCGCCGATCGGCTCGATCGACTCAACTCCTGTATTTGCTATGCTATGCTATGCTCGTTGGATCAGTTTTTAAATAGCGAATCTATAATTAATTTACGACTAGAGAGAGAGAGCCATGCGCTTAAAGAAAACGTAAACGCGACCCGACGTATGCATTACAAACGAAGCGAAGAAACTGTTATTTCTCCAAACAAACCACCGCGGAGAGACGATGTTGATTCAGCGTAACTAAATACATATTAAACGCGCGAGATGTATAACAAGCCTGACATTTGACATTCTCTATGAAAAGTGAGTTTCTTCGATAGGTCTTCCTCACATACGCAAGATTCAACGGTGAAATTAGAGGGAAGGCGGGGAGGAGCAGCAGCAGCAGCAGCAGCAGCCACGTTCTCATTATCATATCCCGATGTTTGGCAGCAGTTAAGGCTGGCTTTATGGGCTGTATTTTCTTGGTATAATTGGGTCTACAGCTCGGGCCCCCTTTCTCATTCCCGTTCCCCATCTTGCTCTCCCTCTTATTGCTTCCTCGCGATTCCTCCTCGCTTGTCTGGCGCACCCTGGCATTTATTATAGGGTATCCTCTTTTCTCTTTTGTTTCAAGCAGGATGAAAAATTTATTAGCGCGAGCTTATGTAAACAATAGCGTCGCTGCACCGCAGCAGGCGCTTCTATCTTGATAAAGAATTCATATTTGATTAATTAAATTTGAAAATTTGAAGATTTACTTACGTGAAATCACACAACTTCGTTGCATCATTTCAATGCGATCATGTGTTCTGCAATGTTGTTAAAAAAGATCCTCGTCCGTATCATTGAAGATCGAATCTGTATCTTGTGCTGTCTGGTAATGGATCACCGCCTTACATCGCTTCAGTTTCTGTTCTCGCACTTTTTTGAGCCGATAGAATTCCTCTCGCTCGTATTCGTCGAGCTCGGTAGCCACGTACGTGAGGGTCCGTTCTAATCGCGGTATAATAATGTGCCGAAGAGCATTCACTCGACGATTAGTCGTCTTGATCACCCGGTCGAGGACCAAAAAATTGTGCTGCAACGACGCCAATTCCATAAGCAGCTCGATTGCCTTGCCGTAATTTTTCTTCAGTTTAGCCACCTATTTATATAAATGAATGAAAATGAATTAATCGATCAAAGTTTTTAGAGATATATTAGAGACATAGCTGCAGAAGCTGCAAGTTGGAAATAAAGCTTCATCGATTGTCGTTAACGATACGACGTTTTGTTAATTACTTGTTGACCGCCTCTGGCTAAACCGGCAAGCTGGAAGGGATCAGAGGCGACATGAAGGGGTTCATAAATCCGCAATCGAACTCCACCGATGATTTCTTGTCGGGATTGGATCCTCGTGCTGGCCGTGTTGATCGTCTGTAACACTAGATTGTTTATACCGCCTGTCACGTAATTGACTTCGGCCAGTGAAAAGGCCGCATCCCTCATAACTTCACCGAGCCGCGACTTGGCTTCGAGCAAACGTGATAGAATCACACGGAAACGAATCAAGAGACCATCGACCTTTTTCTCGAGTAGATCGCGACCCCTGCGTGCGCAAGTTAAGCGACATTTTACATTTATTTGCGAGCTAGACGTTGGAAAAACGGCCAATCTGTCTACGATTTCCATACGGATCGTTTGAAACAACAGCTAATCACTTCATCTTGACATCCATCTTTAATTCTGTCAATTGTTTCACGAAATTTAAAAGTTCATATTATGGTTGTGTTCCGATATTCACTGCCAGCACTGAAAATCTATAGTATACGTGACACAAACTATATATTTTCAGTACTGGCAGTAAATATCGGAACGTAGCCTAAATATGTACAAAATTTAGGTTCTATAATAAGATACTATAAGATACACCTAACATAAGCATCGGTGGTTCAGTGGTAGAATGCTCGCCTGCCACGCGGGCGGCCCGGGTTCGATTCCCGGCCGATGCAATTTTCCTTTTATTTTTAGCACATATGTTCATATTATTTTTTTTCATGCTCAACCAAAAATATAATAAACAAACAGAATAGAATTTGTTTAAAGAGATTTCACATATTTGCGTACTTATAATGTATATTTATATGTCAATGCAACCGTTCGTATTTTTTCCACTCAATAATCATTTACAAGTTATAAAATATATAATGTAAGTCATAAAAAAGATTTGTAGTACGTTGGCAAATACTTTTCAAAAATCATTTTCATAATTTAATATAATATTTAAAGAAATAAAAAGAAAATTGCATCGGCCGGGAATCGAACCCGGGCCGCCCGCGTGGCAGGCGAGCATTCTACCACTGAACCACCGATGCTGATACACGAAGACTTTTGCTACATGGTAAATAATCTAGTTAAACCTATATAACATTGCTAATATTACTAAAAATAATGATAATAAACTTAAAAACTATATCTATATATGAATCAAACATATTAAAAGATATTTCCTTGCGTCACAAAAAATAAACAAAATTCGATAGAAATTATAATAAATTGTAACTTCCATAAAGATAATTTTACTCAATTTTTCAAAATAGAATAAAAGTACATTTAAGACAGTGTTGAATAGTATAATACTAAAAAATAAGATCTTTTGATTAGCTCTTTAATAACAAATTTTGAAATAAAAAGTTGACTATGACTTTTAATTTGTTGAATCTTACAATTTCAAAATAAAAGTAAACGTCTAACTTGTATTGTACTACGATCTCAATTTTTTAGTAAGTCCGATGGCGATTTCCAACGGTGATTTCGAAGCTAATGTGAATAACGGGTCTAATAGACATAAAGAATATAAGATGCTGCAAAGGGTCATTTAGCTATAAAAATAACAAATTTAATTTCTCTATTTGATTGTGGTATTAGTATATACTTCTGAAAAATCTGAAATGTTTTTTAAATTTTTATTATATAATTAATGATATAACAATTATATATAATTTTTATGCATAAACATATATAATAACAATTGCTTATAATACAATTGAATTATTAATTTCTTAGCAAAATTTAATGATTTAAATCCCAATACTGCTCGCCATATTCTCCTCTTCTATTACCCCATTTGATCTAAAATACATTAATTTTAAATCATAAGTAAATTATATTAAGACTAACAATAAAATAATAATATAATAATTACTTTGCCACTATGACGATTGTTGTCAAAGTCTCTTCGCTCAAATCTTTGTTCCCATTCATTGGGATTTTCACAAACATGACCAAACTCAATTTGGAAAGGTGCCAGATGCTCAGAAAATATGTCTCTATATCATATTAGATTAATGTTATAAAAATGACTTATTAATTATTACATGCACAAATATTATTATCACTCACTGAAAATACTGTCCTGTTGACAGAATATTAGCTGCCTTCTGCTTTGAAGCTTTTGTCTTGTGTCCAGTTCGTAAATCTGATTCTAATTAAATTAGTACAAAATGAAATGCGTGATTCAATTATAAACTGCGCAATGTGTTACTTACCTCTTGAAGCTTTCTCTGTAAGTTTCTCCAATAAACTGGCTGCGCCGAAATTTACAATGAGCATTACTGTTGCTGTTTGTATTAAAAAAAAATTAAAATTATTTCTCTTGCGCATTGTTATAAAGTTATTGTAAAGTTAGTTGTATGCAATAATCTCTAACATAACTCGTTATAAACGCTATAAACAGTTTTACGACTGCGTGCTGAATGCTTACTAAATAAGTGAGATTGTGGCTCTTATAATCGCGTCCTTTTTTTTTTTATTTAGAGACGCTACGCTCTATTTAATAGAATCGAGTGAAAGTACAATACAGTACAATATAATCGATGCAGAATTTACATGTAATATAGTTATCTAATTTGTGAAAGAATATTTGTTGCAACATATATAACAATTTCATTTTAAACATTACAATCTTATTTTAAGAACATTTTATATTTCTTCTTCTACATAATTTATTATCAATACAACAACGCAGGAACATAAATTAAGCAGCATTTCAATTCTGCCTATGTGCTTTTTTAATTATTTATCGAAAGACAAGAGGTTGCTATGCTTTGCACACTTCATCAGAGACTGAATTAATTTGACAAATCCAGTGTCTTTTGGTTTTTCTAGGCCACGAAGAACACGGTTCTTCATCACTGCTACAAATTCTCGATTGCTAAGTTGTCCGTCCACTGCAAAAAACACAAAATCAGAATTATATAATATTAACATTACAAAATACGTCTTGTATATTCATTACATTGCAGAGCATGCATGTTACAATACATAGGAAGGAAGATTTATTGTTTTTCACAACCTATCAACTATAAATACTACTACATAGCAATCTACCGATATAAATCAACTCACTGTTTTCGTCGAAAATTGTGTACACTACTTGAATGATATGATCACTCAAATCAACGTGCGCGACGGTTTTCGCTACGTGTTTTAACGTTGCTGTAATAAACGTCATAAGAATTAGAATATTTAATATCTGTTTAATATTTTAATATCATCATTTTTAATATTAATACCGAAGAATAATTTTAATATTAATAATTGTTTAATAACATCAATACCTTGATCGATAGATGCGCCAGCTATATGATAAAACGTTAGAGCTGTGTCAACATCGTTAATATTGTTGAGGAAGTGGAAGAACTTAAGATATTCCTCCTTGCTAATACCTTTTGGATCTTCTTTAAACCTATAAATATTTAATATTCAAGTACGCAGCGATGTGAAATCTTAATTTCTTAAAATATGTTTGAATATGCTTCTGTACTCACATTTTTTTCACTCTTTTCAGCATCTTCGCCTTCTTTTTAGCTGGATATCCGGCATACGCCAATAATAATTCCGTGAAATCTACTTCAGTAACATTTCCATGCTCATCCGGATTTCGTCGTTCGAACTAAGCAAAAAATGATATGGAAGAGCATGATAAATGATATATGATGAAAACATATCAAATCAATTATTATACCTCAAGACTCAGGATCTCCCGCTGCAGTTGCTGCTGAAAATCCAGGAATTTTTCGATCGTTAATTTTTGATTCATTTGTGGTCCGAAGAAATATGTTGTTAACGCTGAATTCACCCCCTAAAATTGAGGAATGTTTGATGAGAGGCAAGTCTTCTCAATCATTGAATGAAATATAATACTTAATGCATTCCAACACATAGTTCAAGTTAATGAGCGTTTAATATTCAACACATAGTTCAAGTTAATGAGCGTGTTTATTTGCGTGTTTATATTTAAGCTTGAAAATTAATAATAATTATGACCTTAAATGTACTGCCTGTAGTTGCATGATCTCGATGTCGAGTGCCGATACTAGTTTGTTGCCGTATCAATGTAGCCACTTTTCCAAATTCCTCAGAATCGACATCACCGTCCCCGTTAAAGTCGAACATTCTGAAGGCGATCTCAAAGTGACGTCTAGAAGCTACAAAAAAAAGAAAAAAATGAAATTCAAGCTTTGAAAAAAAATTCGGGTCTTTATGTTTATGAAACTTAATGTTAGTACACAGAACTAGTTTTAGACAGCTTTGAATATGTAGTTTTAGTTACAAGTATCTTTCAATATGTAACAGCTTCGAAATATTTAACGTTTAATAAACAACTCACTTGACAATACAGTTAGCAGAAAGATATAATCAGAGAAAGTAATAAGGCCGGCACTTCCTAGTTTGTAGAAGATACTATCCCCGTCTAATTCCAATTCTAACTTTGTGTGAATATTCTATACCAGAAAAAGAAACATCATTACGTAAAAGTGAAAAGAGCTTATAATTCTTTCGGTGCTAATCTGATTAACGCACCTTTGGATCGTAACGCTTATATTGATCCAACCCTAAACCTGAAAACAAATTTTATAATTATTGCTATCATATAATGTTTCTTTTAAATACATCTTACGCGATCAAATACATAATGCTAACAATTCAATTTATACAATTCGAAATTCGGAAAATATTAGTTGGTTTGCGCATGCAAAAGAAAGCTGTGTTTCAGTTTTGTTGCGCTGTTTCACGAAGCGTATTCACAAAGCAATTGGAAGTACTATACAGGGTGACATTTAATTTCAAGAAATGAGAAACGGACTAAGGAATGGCATAGGATTACCGTCGGGTTGTTTAACGCCAGGTGTCATCGATCGCAAAAAGTCATCTGGCGTCATGAACACCTCGTGTATATCGTTGCTCGTGACCTGGAGGGTCGCGAAGTAACGAAACACTTTGTCCGGTGTTGAATAATGCCTCATACGATTTTCGTATTCTATTATCTGCGGAATACGTACAATTAATCGACAATTGAGAATGCTGAGAATGTGCAAAACGTCACAAATGAAAACAATGATTTACAAAATAATAATTTAATATAATGCAGTTATTTCTCTCATTGCTGTTCCTTTTCACTAGACATAATATGTGGGAGATTAGTGCAAAAAATAATAATACGATTTAATAAATTTTAACAAGCAACGGCTCTTTATTTAGTGTTATGTGAGAATCTTTTATGCGGTATTACGCAAGATCACAGACTTAGAATTAGCAGAGCGAGGCAGGTAAATTGACCATCAAAAGGAAAAGGTTTAGTATAAGCAATTTTGTCAAAGGCAACAAGAGAAGGTGATAAAGCCTCAAGGCTATGCTTCGTGTTACTTTCAACGCGCCAAAAATTAAAGAATCCCTACCATCTGGCTGTTGCATGCCAGGTGTAATAGCTCGAAGGAAATCATCAGGAGTCATATAAGTCTCTGTACCCTGTAAGCTAGTTACTTGGACGGTCGCAAAGTAACGAAATATTTTGTCTGGTGTTGAATATGCTCTCACTCTATTCTCGTACTCTATTATCTGTAAAAATATCTCAACCTGCATCATTCTGCTGTATAGAGATATATATTTAAAGTATATACTATCAAGTCCACAATGCTATCTTGTTCAGTTACCCAAATGTTATTGTTGTCGCATTTTTTATTTTCTACTACATAATTGTAATATTTAGTTTTTATGTATTTAAACAAAAAAAACTGTACAAGTAAACCTAAATCTGTTTTACATTTTAATGACATAAAATTTTCGCAAAATAATATGACTTGTGCAATACACCTAGGAATAACTGATATTTATATAATTTTAATAAAGAATGTTAACATGCATATATGAGAAAAACAGAAATTTGCTTCTTTTAAAACTTATATAATATATTAAACATAGATATTTAATAAACCTTTCTATCTCGAAAACCAATTTTTTCTTTCTTCTTTTTCTTCTTTTGTAAATCATATTCTATATTTTCCACATCTCTATTGTCCTGGTTCCCTTCCACTGGTAATTCAGCAGCTTCCACTTTAGGTATTTCCACTTTCGGTATTTCAGATATTAAACCAAAATAACTGTAAGATAGTATAATATATGTGTATAATAGTAAATGACACTTAATTCTCTAATTGCACTATTTCAATTTCTCAATTATACTATTTAATTGTATTCAACAATATTTAATATTTTTTATCTGATAAACAACGTTACTTACCGTTGCCAATCCGTAAAGTTAACCGTTATCATTATAAAAGTGATTACAAATGGTGCAAAATAAGAAATGGGTTTTTTTTGAGAAGTATGACCAAAATTTCGAAAATTACGAGTCTGCTTATATTGAAACTTGTCTCTGTAACTGTTGCATTCTGTGATGTAGAATGTACTAGCTGCAAATGGTTTGCACTGCAAGCATCGACGAAGTACAAACATATTTCTATTTAGCAACATTATGACAGCTGTACTATAAGGGAAATTGAAATATGTTTAATTAGTACGTTTGATTATTAATTCGAAAAAGAACATATTAATTATAACATCAAAAGTAAACAAATTATCCAATAGTCGTGCACAAAACATGTATATATACATCCTTGTTTTTATATAATTTATATCAGATATATTAATGACAATTTATATTAATATATATGACAAAATTCTTTACCTAAAATACCATTAATCCATAACAATAATTCATAATAGCCATCAAAAACACTGATCAGACGACATTGCAACCCATGTAACCATGATGACCAATGATTGAAATTAACAAGAGGGTTATGCTGTAATTTCAAAATGGTCAATATCGCATGAGAGAGAAGCAATGACAGATGGCGTGTTAGTTACATGTTCGAATGTTTTCCGTTCTTAGTATCGTTGATTCATCGGACTAGTTGATCATTTCGTCATCTTTGTTTACCTAATTTTGCACGAATAAATTAATTGGCGAGAAACAAATATGAGTCTCAAAATGAATGAAAATGATGGTTATATGATAAAATTTACAGCGAACAAAACTGAAAAGTCGATACGTAAGTAAAATACAACGATTTTCTACTATTACAATGTTACAATAGTATGCACAATGTTATAGGCAAATGCCAAATTGTTTCACCGTAATAAATATTTGGATTTTCTCATTTAGGAGTACAACAACAAACACGCGATCTTCTTCGTAACGCCAATGTTTCTCAATATGCATCAGAAAACACGCGAGACCGGCAGGCAGTATTGTATTTGAAAGAGAACAGAATTTATGATTTCATTGAATTTTTGATTGGCAATCTTCTACTGCATCGACCTTATGATCCTTATGAATATCTGAGTCAACTGTTAGATACATATATTTTATCCCGCGACGGCCTTGTCGACTCTTCTTTCTCTTTTCCCTTTTACAGTAAGTATAAATCTTTATGGTAAATATAATATTTTCATAATCAATTTTTCTGAAACGCTGCGACGTCTTATGTCATTTATATATTGCACAATAGAAAAAGGAGCAAATGACAAATAGAACATGCAATATATTTTGCAATATGAAACGGTGCAATGAAAATGTATAATTCCGAACAACTGGAGAAGTAGTATAATAATATTTTCGTATAAATGAATGTTTGCACATAATAACTTTTACTACGTATGATGTAAAAAAAGATGTACGTGAGAAATAGCGAGAGAAATAGCGAGAGAAAAAGATAAAGAAAATTTATTGCGGAAAGTGTAGTTAAAAAGTGCAAACTCGTACATGACTATAGGTACCTAAGTGCGCATGCGCATTACGTTATGCGTGAAATATACTATACACTAAAAGCACAGTTTGAATTCAACCGAAATTTTTCTTTCCCTTTTGGACGGAGCAAGGAAGCGGTAGGCTTGTCGTTGTCTCCTGATCGCTCGTTAATTTATTTAAACAATTAAAGTAGCATTCGAGCATGATAAGGTGCGAGACGACGACATTTCATTCAGGTGCAATATAACTCGTAACAATGAGCTCACAAAGCATCGCTGTAAGTTATTTCATATATTTTTCATGACTTGTATGCATTGCGATATTGACATAATGGCGGATTTTCGTCAAATATCGGGAGAACATTTAAGAAGAAATAAACGAAAATAAGTATTTCCGTGAAGCTTAAAGATTTGTGTGCGTATTGTCATTATGATTTTAGCACAATAATATCGCGTAATATTAATCTTACGCATAATTTGATAAACATACGAATTCGAATCAACTGCATAAAGGGTGAGGGAAAGAGTGAGGAAAGATTCTGATAATTTTGATATCGTGGTGTAAAAATGCCGCCTACCGGAGATATTTTCGATACATACATGACGATGAAAAAATCGAGTCAATAATATTTAACCTTTACCGTGTTGCTAGCAACGTAAAGGAAATCGATAGTGATTAATAATGCTAAAATATATTCCATTAACTCGACACTGTTACATGTATCAATGATGTATTATTCATAATGATCAGACGTATTGTATAAAGCATAGTAAACACAAACCGAGCTTGTGTGTACGATACGTCCGTTTACTTCACGTTGTTGGTCGATCATTGAAAGTCATTCGATTGCCGCGCGTTGAAGAGATGAATAGTATGTGTGTCTTGTAGAATGATTTAGAGACAAAAGATCAATGTGAACGGTGCAGAATCATTCAAAATTCGGTTTTATCTTAGTATTTTAGTTAACCGAGTTAGCGTTTTTAACTTCAATCTAACCTATCCCGATTCGGTTCTCGGCGTAGTTGTTTGTCTCATTGAGTTTGTACACAACTTTACCGTGTAAAAATATTCAGGAGAAATGAAAGAAAGTATCATTTGCTACATTGTGGAGTCATTAGTCATTAGCATGATAATTTCGATTCATATATGCGTGATCTATGAATTATATCGTGAACATTAAACACGATTGACATAACCAAAAATCGATCGTGTTGTTTACTAAGCTCGCTAGTCTTTTTTGATAAACGAAGGAATTTGTTCTTAATTGCGAATTTTTGTCTACGATTCTTTAATATTAAAAATGATGAGTAATCGTGTCTGGAGACCGATATATTGGATATTATGATTTCTGTGGTAAAATATCATGCGTCGATAAAAAGTACGAATACATTCAAGTGGTAAATGCAACGAGTTATCTTGACGAAAAGGTGCATTACCGACGTTCTACAATTATCGACTGCACTCATATTGCTACTAAACTACCTGCAGATGTCAGTGCATTATCGTTTTTTAACATTCCTTTCGGCAACAGATGTGTATATATATAATAGTATATGTAGCTGTGAAATATAATTATTTAAACAGCTACATATATATATATTAAAAATTGTTTAATTATTCAAAACTTTATTTAAGAAAGGTTAGGTTTATATTAAAGATTTAATATTTAGTATCATATTCAAATCTTTATTATTCTAACCTTAATATAACGTCATTCATGAAGTCTTTTCTTTCTTCTTGATTTTATAATTTGTTACAAGTATAAATATGGAATTAAATTATGTATATGCGACTAATCAAGAATAAAAAATTTTCAAAGTAATGTACTATAGGGAGAGTCTGCGGTCTTTTTTGAGACATATCGGGAAATATTTAAAAAATTTATTTTGATCTGTTTTTAATAAAATTTCTATATTTCAATATTTATCGTATATCGATTCGAACATAATTATTACAAATGTTATTTCTTTTCACTTTAATTCAACATATATGCATGCAGTCGTATGAAACATCGCATATAGAATGAACGAGATTATTATTGTCATAATTTTAATGTTATATTCATTGGAAGAACCCATGCAGTCACATACATTCCACACAGCAGAAATATTCAAAATATATCACAGGGATATTCTGAAGATATTGTGATATTCTTAGAATATCCCTGTGATGTATTTCGAGCATTTCTGCCATGTGGGATATTACATAATTTTATATTATATATTAAATTATTAGACTCCAGTGATGTCTTTGATAGAGGAGCAATATTTCTTTAATCTCGGAATTGAAAAGCATAATTTCATTCATGCTAAATTTCACTCACTTTGAAAAATGATGAGATAATTTCGTACGATAAAGGTATATTGGTGTCTAAGATATGTTTAATAAAACTATTACTTAATGTTTTGGTCAATATACTACGTACGTGTGTTTGTTGACATCTCGCCGTGGAGCGCGTCGCGCGCGAGCGTTCCGGCGAGTCGAGTCGTGTCGCGTCGCGTCGGGGTCAAATAAAGTCACCGTGACAATGCCCCGTATTTACCACACTTGTACGCGATCTCAATTATCGTACGAGACGTCGCGCTGATCGGATGCGCGTCGTATGCCGGTCGTATGCAAGTGTTGCAGTTTTTCTCGCCAAGTATTTTTCAATCTGTCGTCGCAAGTTGAATACGCGAACGGGAATATGTGAACGGGAGTGCCGGGAATGTCGAAAGTGTCGGGAGTTTCGGGAGTGCCGGGAGTGCCGAATAAAAGTGACGCGCGATCGCATTGTATCGCGACATCTGCGTTCGTGATTAGCCACGTTTTTCCGAATCGTATCAGTGAGTGCCTTGGATTAGTGGAGGTAGCAGTCGCCGGGGTTATGCTGAACACAGAGAATGGTAAGAGAATTGTTATAATATAATTATTCTTACGTTATGTGCGTTCAATTCGTCGTGTCATAGTGTCATAAGCGCGATTTGGTAAATTCTCCGTTATTAGCGACGTACTCGGAATTCAACTATAAAAAGCATAATTAATTTTTCCGAGTTGATGAGATTTTGAATTTAATTATCGCGCGAATCTGTACTATTGTAAAGCTTCGAGTAAATAGAAGACAATTAAATTAATAGCAGTCTTTCCTATCGCGCGGTCATCTAACACGAAATTACATTAGAGACGCAAATACATCTCGATAAAGATCGTGAGAAATAGAGTAACAATAATCGTTGAAGGATCGCGTGCTGCGTGTCGATGTAAGATATAATATTCTTTTACTGTGTGTTCTTAATGATATATTTATTTTACAATGATTTTCCTGCTTAATTACAGGTCTTGGGGACACTGAGATGCCGTCGTCGAGTAACGTTGTGGTGAGTCTTGTGACAATTTTTAATAAAGTATTTTTGGTTATTTTCGTTTTGTAATAAGTTTACTGATTGCCGTTTTTTGACTTTTACATGAAATTTAATTTTCTTTAAAATTTTATCATTCGATATACTATTGATACCAAAACGATCATACGCATATATAACCACACTGATCTTTAAGTGTGACTTAGAGTCATGGTAAAAAACATCGTGTTGCCGTAAGCTTTAAAGCCTTACAGCTTACCGCGGCGCTTTTTCTGCGTCTCGTCGATTTTAGGAGCTCTTTAGCGCACGCTATTCTCACGCTATCCCCTTTCTATCGCCATTGCATCGCGCACGTGGTGCGACGCTTGTTACTTTTCCTGGTGAAAATTTCACGTGAGCTTTTTATGACGCATTTGTCAAAAACCTTTCGCGCGCGCGCGCGCGAGTCGGACCAAGCCGACTCGAGCCGGTTCCGCCGTGAGTGCAGTGCATTTTCTCAGTGGCGTACACCGCGGTGCATATGTATACGCTCATTTCGCGCGCTCTGCGCTCGAGGCTCGGCGGCGCATTAGCAGGCCGCTCGGTGTCCGGACACGTCCTGCCGCGACGAGTCCTGGCGTCCGTCCAGAGAGACGACGGGCAGCAGTCCTGCACGTGCTCTCTTCTTCTCCACCGCGGCCCCGGTGTATGTCGTCGTCGCGCTCAGGTGCACGAAGTGGAGGCGCGCGTGTTGCTAATGCGACGAAATGAGCCGTGATGCCGAAGGTTCCAGGCGGCGCGTAAGGCTGGCGGACATAATAAGCACGGAAAAAGACGCGCTTATTCGTCGTCACACGCGCTCGCAAACCCCGCAAACGATCGACCTCAGCCTTTTTCAGCGTAACTGCCGCCGCTCCGGGCTCCCCGACGTCGTTATTGCGGCGACGCACGTGCGCGCGTTAAACGTTTCTTCAATCGCGCGGCGCAACCGCCGCTCCGCGCTGCACTCGAGGCGCATCGTACCGCGATAAGATAGTATGATTTCGAGTGACGCGGAAGTTCCTCGAGTGTTAATTAATTCGCGTAGTGACCGCGCAGACGTACGCTCGCGTATCGCCGGGATGGGCCGGGATAATTACGGTACTTTTGCACGAGCGGAATCGCGCGGTCAGCGCCAGCGGATTTTGCAGGAAGACATTGAGAGGGGAACATTCGCGGAGACACATTAAGTTGCAATTCGCGGCTACTTTCGGACTGTATTCTAATACAAATGGCGCAAAAGTTACGGGCCGCAAGAACACGGGCGCGGCCCGTAAAAATAATTTGTATCTTCGGAATTGACAAGATTTGCCAAATTCCTCGTATTATTATGCCGTAATTACCATGATTAGCGTAGCAGCATCTTATCGCGAGTCGTGCTTCGACGCGTCACGCGGAGATACGCGGGAAAAATCATAGAGCCTTCATGAAAGCGCGTCTCACCGTGCGCGTGTACGCACGTGTAATATACAGCGTTGGGTGTCGCGTGTATTGTGTGATACGCGGAGAAGGAAAGGGGGTGTGCCATGGAGTCTAACCGCGTATACATACGTACAACGTACGGGTCCTTTATTGTCGCGACCATTCAGCTTACGACAATTTTCCCCGCGACAAAGGGGCGACGAGGCGAATATGAGGTATCGCGCAACTGCCAAAAAGCTGACGACGACCACACGATCGTACTGCTTGTGTGTGTGTGTGTGTGTGTATGCTGCGTGCACAGTGCTAGCATAGACGCGTGCACGCATACGCACACACACACACACAGAGACACACATACACACGACATATAGACGTATGCACGCACGCATGCACGCACGCACGCACGCACGCACGCACGCACACACACACACACACACACACACACCACACACACACACACACACACACACACACACACACACACACACACACACACACACACGCGCGCGCGCGCGCGCCATGAGACACACGCGACAATCTACTATTCCCATCGCGCCGTCTCGTTACGGAGCGTCTTGCGGCGTCGCGACGATAAAGGCGCCGGTAACTCATTGTTCATGCCTGGGACAATGTGTGCACCGGCGGGCGACTCGGCCTGATTCCGAACGAGACTTCTCCAGCGACGTAAAACGATTCGCCCATTGGGTCCCGCCGCGCGTTCCGCAGATAAATGGAAGCTGCTGATGTTGCCAGCAGTCTGACGAAGTTATTAGTCCGAGCTTTCGTAGTTTTAGAAAACGGGAAACACTTTATCATACGCGCATGAGACAATGCGTGCGTAATGTAGGGCGGGGAGTTGTTAGACGTTAAGAATTATGATATGGCGATAATACCAGTATTTTTTGTCCGGCATGAACATACCAAAATTATATTCCTTTAATTTTCTTGTACAAAATTACGGCGTCTTTATTTCGTTGGAGATTTGTCGGAATCACATGCTTTATTTAGAAAGAAAGAAGTGTCTCTCTTGCCCTCTTGCCCTTTGCCTTGGTCCGAGAAAATGTCAAAGTTTTATGAATTTCTTGAATCATGAATGCTGTTAAAAAATTTCGATCGTTAATTAGGTCGAACTTAGCATCAATATAAGATTTTGCACTTTGCTCCGAGATTTCGCTCCGGCGAAAAGTGAATGTTTTACTAAGATGTTGCATGATTTCTGCCAATACTCTTATTCGATTATAATAGTCGGTGTAATTCTGGAGCTAGCCAGGGATCTCCCGTCGCGTGTAGGCGAGAAAACACGCGAGGATTCTGCGTCCTAAATTTTCACGCCGTCTTCGAGCTGATATCGACACGTCAATCTAAATCTTCGACTTCGTTGCGGGGGTTGCGCGGGTTGAGGTCAAAACTGAGAAAGAAGTCGGACAGGAATGAGATCCCGTGT